TGAGGACCTCCGTGCGTCTCCCCACAAGCCTAGGTCGTCTCCCCGCAAGCCTAGGTCGCAGGCGCGGGGACCTGGGCAGCCGCGATCCCGGTCTGCACTTGCTTTTCAAGCGCGCGCCTAGTGCGCCGCGTTTCCCGCGCAGGCTTACTGGCAGCCCGGGCTGTGTGCGCGTCTGCTGGGGTCTTTGTTCTTCTCTAATGGCTCACCGCCGCGGCAGATCCTGCAGGGTTCGCCTCAGCTCCCGTTCACGGGGTGTGGTGGCTGCAATAGTTCCTTTCCACTCCCAGTCCCGCTTGCTGCGTTGTTTGTTCTTGTGGGCCGTTTTGGTTTGTTGTTTCCTCCTCTCTGCTGGTCGGAGAGTGCCGCCTCTGTGGGCGGGGGAGGGGAGCAGGGTTCTGCGCTTCCCTCCCTTCTAGTCCTCTTTTATGGCCACTTTCTTCGGGCAGTTCGCTGGCGTCACCCGTTTATCTTCCGTGTCCCTGTTCTCACTGGGACCTGCCGCTTTTCCTCCCTATTCACTTTTTTTAATCTCTTACTGAGTCTTTAATGCTGTCCTTAGTCATCTTTGTTTCCTACTCTTCGCAAATCTCTTTGACGCTGCCATCTTCCCCTCTCACATTTAATAAACAGTCCTTTTTACTTTTTCTTTTTTTTTTAGATTTATTTATTTTTATTTATAAAAGCACTGGGTACAGTCAGAAGCGTGGGAGGGTGAGAGAATTCACCAGGGCCAGAGAGGGGAACAGAGCAGGCAGGACCGAAGTACACTGCTGAGGGGAGCAGCAGGTGGCAGGAGAGGTCTGCGCGCCATGTGGGACCCTCCTCCAGTGGCTGGGGAGCAGCCGGAGATCGAACTGGCACTGCAGAGGCTGCGGGCAGCTTTGCAACCCAGCGCTCAACCGCTGCGCCACTGGGGAGGCCCCCCTTTTTACTTTCTTTAACTTAGTAACTCCTATCACCAGATTGGCTACACAGCCTCCATTAAATTCCATCCTTTCCTCCTCATTCAGTGAAAGAGGTGTTCCTTTACTTTTCTAAAGTTAATCAATTTCTCTCAGGCCCTAGATCCCAATCACTGCTATTTCTTTAGAGACCACACAATGTTTGTTTGTCTCCTTACACTTCTCTATCTTCAATATCTTCCTTAACTAGCTCTTTGTCAGCATATTTTAAACATGCTCAGGATACTTCCATCTTAAAGCTTTCTTCAAGACCATCTCCACCTGCTTCACAGTCCGATACCTTGAAGAAATTACTTAATGACTTCTTTTATTTTTTCCCCTGCACATTAATAAACACATTCCAATTATGAAATTGACACTACCCTGCTGAAATTGCTCTCCCCAAAGTCATCAATAGCCTCCTTGTTTCCAAGTGGACATTTTTCAGTACCTTACTTATATGACAACATAACATCTGGCATTCTTATACTGCCCCTTATACACTTTCCCTTTTTTTCTAGCATGTTCTACTCGTTTCCTTCCTGTCTTCCTGTACCTTCTCAGGAAGTTGTCTGTCAAAGTTTACTCTTACTCTTCATCTTCCTCAGCCTTCTATTCTACTTGAAGTACTTTTATGAGTAGATAATTTACAAATCTCTCTTCAGCTTCAATTTCACTTCTGAGAGATGGGTTAGCATTTGTCTATTAGGTAAATTTCATTGAGTATACAAATAAACATTTCAAACCCAACATTTATAAAACTTAGCTAGCCATTATCCCTCAATGACAAAAATCTGTTCCTTTTCCAATCACTTTAAATATATTGTCCTATACCCAGTTGTTCATGCTGGAAAATAAGATTAATTCCTTATTGCCTCATCTCCCACAGCATGTCATATTGATTCTGCCACAGAAATCTTGATTTGACTCTCTTCCTTTTCCTTCTGTTTTAGTGAAAGACGTATCCTTTCATTGTATTTTGATCATTGGAAGTCTTCATGTAAATAACAGGTTTTAATAATAAAACTATATAACTAATATTTTATATATTCATGTGTCTGCTGAATAAAATTTAGAAGGCAGAGATCCTGTTTGTTTTTTTTTAAAGATTTATTTATTTATGGATACTAGAGCTGGGGTACAGGCCAGAGATGGGGGTGGGGTGGGGGTGAGAGGATCCACCAGAGAAGAGCTGGGAACAGAACAAGCAGTCTGACCGAAATACACTGCTGAGGGGAGCAGCAGGCGAGACAGGAGAGGTCTGCCTCACCATGTGGGTTTCTCCCCGGCCGGGGATCCGAGCTCGTGCTGCAGAGGCCACGGATTGCTTCACAGTGCGGTGCTTAACCCCATTTGCCACCAGGGAGGCCGAGATCCTGTATTTTTAATGGTGACTTTGGGATCGTAAAAGAGGTTGACATGGAGAGAGAAATGACTTGCCTTTATTTTCTATTTTTTATATGGGGAGCTATATTGGAGAAATCAGCTGAGTGTTAATATATTGAGAATTGATCATGGCTTTATTTTTCATATTTTATTTTATAATTGTGTGCCCTTTTTAAGTACATTTGCTATCATTAAATTAAGAGATATTCTACCACATTGTATGTTAATCACAATGTAACAGTAGACAGTTTGTTTTACAGATTTAAGTTTACTTAGTAATTGGTCTTTCAAAAGAGACATTTCCCAAACTAATTTACTATATAGTTTTAAAATTGTTTAGAAATTTATTTTAGTGATATTTACGGACATTAGCCTTTGACTAGATTCTGAGATGATGCTCTTCATTTTAGGGAGAACTCATAATGTAAAAATAGCTACAACATTAAGATTAGAAAGAGATATAAAACAGCTCTCCAAATATATTCTTAATAAACTTAAAATAAGCTTACTTCACGATTGTTAGAAAGTATAACATATTATAAGGACAAAAAATGATTTGTGAGCATTTTTACTTAACTACCTTAATACTTTTCCATTTAAATTTTTATCTAAAGACCATTTGCTTTTAGTACTTTTCAATGTGGTATCATTGCTACGATATTAGTATGTTTTAGGTCCTATTTAAAGTTTGTAAATGTATTTCTAGTATAAAGAGACAAAGCATATAAACAAACAAAACAGACAAACTTATGTACAAAGATTGGCTCTTATGATGAGGGGAAGTGGTTTGGGGAGTGGGTAAAATGGGTAAAGTGGGGACAACTATGGTGATGGATGAAAACTAGACTTTTGATGGTGATCATTGTGTAGACTATACAGATATTAAATTATAAATTCTATACACTTGAATCATAATGTTGTAAACCAACATTCCCTGAAAAATTTATCTAAAAAATAAAGTATTGCTAAAAATATATAACACAGAGAAAAGAAAAATAAATATATTCCTGCTTTTAACAAACAGCTGCTTTTATGCAGGCTTTATTGTATATTGTATTTGTTTTTAAAAAACTAGTTTTGCATTTTTTATCCTTTTTTAGAATATGATAATGCTATAAGCATAGGCCATAATGTTCACCCTTTATCAGTTATGTATTTGACTTGATTTTGTTTTCATTTTATCTCAATTACAGCTTCTTTACAGTTTTTTTTCCCATATGTAAGTTGTTTTCTTAGGTTAGCTATTGAGAGGGAGAGTTGGATCAAAGCTCAGTTTTAGTTCTTGATACAGATTGTGAAAATACTTTCCAGAAATGTTTTACTAGTTTTCATTGTAAATAAGATTTCCAGTTTCCATTGGTATCTTTAGAGTAAGTAATGTGTAATTTATATGCAATTTAACAAATTTAATAGCCCCTTATTTTAATTTGCAGTTGGACTTTATTAATATTTTATGTTTGCTGATTTCTTTGTTTATTGACTATTCACACTTTTCAGGGTTTTTTTTTTTTGTCTTTACAATTTCTTTATAGTACAGGTGTAAACTGTATTTATCCAATTTGTTGGTTATGTCTGTCTCAGCATACTTAGCATTCACTTTTATGTGAATAAAATTTTAAAGTCCATTCTATTTTCTGGTTTGTCTGTTGTATGATTTTTTAAATCTCATCTATTTTCACTCTATTTACTATTTTGATATTGTGGCATGAACAGTCATTTTTCCCTTCCTCCACCCACTGAAGGTAGGTCCTTCCTAGTCCTCAAAACTGTCCTTCCTTAGTCCCTCCTGAGCTAGGACTGAGGCTCCATGTCCATAGTGACCAGAGAGCGCCAGTTATCTTCATAGTTCCACATGCAGTGTAAACCTAAAGTCCTCCATAAAGATTGTGTAGAAATCTTACCTTTACACAATCATCTCTGCATCTGAACCTTGATATTGCTGCTTCTGTTTCTTATCTCTTTGACCCAAGTGTGAAATTCATTACTCCTTGATTTTTACAAAATCCCTACTTCATTAAGGAGAACTTAAGACTTTGGTAAAGTATAGCAAGATTTAGGGAGAAATAAGAGGTACCAGCAATGTATTTTAAGGTTGCTCAGTAGGCATTACTATTCTTAGTGTTTTTAGCCACTGCATTCTTGAGTCATTGGCCTTCACCCACCTAGTCTTGTTTCTCTCTCCCTGCTTTAGTCTCGTCTTATTTACCATTTCCTCCATTCCTATTAAAACCAAACCTTTTCCCATGTTTATGCAATACAGTTCTCCCTTCTTTGACTCTTTGGCATAAAAGGAATATCCAGGTCTTTGGGGGTATTACTTGCTTTTTTTAAAGAGCAGGTTTAATTTTAGCTATTGATAACTTTTTCCTATCTTAATACCTTTTAGAACAATTGAATGATGTAAATAAAATAACCTTAAAGTTAAGAGGCCAGTACACATAGTTTATAGTCTCAGGTTTTCTTCCCCCATCACTCCATTTACTTAACTCATACTAATCATAATATGCATATGGCAGCTTAATCAATTAGTGTATAATATGTGGTTCATATTGCCTCTTTATTTCTTAAAATCCCCTTTTATGAGATTCCTTTACATAGTTAAGCCTCATAGATTGATTTAAAATTAGAACTTACTTTTACAAGTTAAAAAGTTAATTTTCGTTTGTTTTGCAGAAAATTGTTAAAGCCAATATGGCCACAGGAGGAGGTCCTTTTGAAGAAGGTTTGAATGATCAGGATTTACCAAACTGGAGCAATGAGGGTATTGATGACCGACTCAACAATATGGTATGCTACCTGATTATTGATGGTGTGTTGTTAACTACAAATGTTAAAATGCAACTTTCCCCTGACTTAGCCAAATTGAACTTACTGAAAGACTGTAAATAAATTTTCCTTGCTGGCTAAAATATTAAATAACCCTGGACTTTTGTTATACTTATTGAGACATTTTTATTTATAGGTAACAAATCAATTTGAATTAGTCTAAAGGTATTTTATGGAAAACAAGTTAAAGGAATATATTTGTAGAAAGAGACTAGACAAAGAACTAGAAAGTTGTTGAGAATTCCCTTCATATTACCCTGACTCTGTTGCCGAGTGCCTCTGATTAACTTTTCATAGACCAGCATTCTCTCTTGGTCCACATGGGGTAGTATAGCCACCCCTTCATTCAAAAGTTTTTCAGTTGTGGCTGCAACAAGTTATGTCTTAGTTCAAATTTGAAATTTTAAATTATGATGGTCCTGATGTGGATTAGATAATCATCTCTTTCCATCATTTCTGGCCAGAAGAGAGCAGAATAAGTAATACAAAAGGTTGACAGAAATACATATGAATTGGGAGCCTCCGTGGTGGCACAGGGTTTAAAGACACAGCGCTATCAAGGTATTGCCAGCCACTGCAGCAAGAGTTTGATCCCTGGCCAGAGAGCCTAACCCACATGGCACAGCAGACCTCTCCTGTCTCACCCATGCTCCTCTCAGCAGTCAGTTTCAAATTTTGATATTTCAGTAGATCCACCTGTTCTGCTCCCCACTCTATTTCTAGTGAGTCCTTTCAACCCACCCCACCTCTGATCTACACCCCAGTTCTTGTATGCATAAATAAATAAATCTTAAAAAAAGAAATGAATTGGAATGGCAGGACAGTTTATTAGAGAAGTGAGTTTTGTTATGAATCAGGAAAATACCCCTAAAGATTTTACTATAGTAAAACTAAAAATTCTTCTAATATGGATAAAGTAGGAATTCAGAAACTTTATTTAATTGAATGAGTTTAGGTTATGTGAATAAAAGTAAATCCAAGTGTTTTCTTGTTAAAATATTAAACATTTTTTACCATTTCATATCAGATCTCATAGTATGTTACCTATAAAAAATAAGCTATGTTTATTACTATTACTAGGCACTGTCCTAGATGTCTTCACATACATTATTTTTAATTGTGTTGTAAAGGTGATAATATTTTTTAGCGATTAGAAAACTATGGGAAGTTAAATTGTTTCTTCAGAAAACAATAATTATTTTAGAACCCAGATAGATTCCTGATCTTTCTTATCACACAATATTGATGTTAAAGTATGACTTTAAAGGTAACTAAATTCTTTCACTATTCAGTTTACAAATAATAAAGAACCATTTTTTTTAAATATTTTTCAAAATATTCAGTCTGATTCTAGGGTTGGAGTTTAAGGATTTAAATGTATGTTTTATGCTAGGGAGGTAACCATGGAATTTAGGTTAGATGTAATAGGGACGTTGAGAAATGGGTGAGTAAAAGTAAATAATTGTCCAGTAAGATTATGTGTTTATGTGAAAAACGTTCTGTCATTTTTGGTTTTAAAACTGACCAAAATTTTTTTAAGTATACCAAATTATTTTTCTGGCTTGATAGAGGATATGTTAAACTTTGCCTTTTATTTTTTTAAAGGATTGGGGTGGCCAACAGAAGAAGGCAAATAGATCTTCAGAAAAGAATAAGAAAAAATTTGGTGTAGAAAGTGATAAAAGGGTAACTAATGATATTTCTCCGGAGTCATCACCAGGAGTTGGAAGGCGAAGAACAAAGACTCCACATACATTTCCACATAGTAGATACATGACTCAGATGTCTGTTCCAGAGCAGGCAGAATTAGAGAAACTTAAACAGAGGATAAACTTCAGTGATTTAGATCAGGTTTGTGAATTATTTTTTAAAATCATATTATGACTATGGGAAATATTTGAAATGGATTAAACAATTTAAGAATAAAAGTTGAACTTTTTAATTTTTAATTTTCTTTCTTAGTTTCTGTGCATATGGAAAGATTTTTACTCTGTGGTGATGGTACTATGTTCTTTGGAGGGCAATGAAGTCTTTATTTCTAAACTTGTTTATAAGGGCAAGTCTTTCTGGACTCTTACTCTATTATAGTACTGATTTTAATGATTTCATTATGAAACTAAACTTTGCATCTTAGTAACACTGCAATTGTTATTAAGCAAAATGGAAGATTCAGTTTAGAATACTAATCATTGAGATATACTGGATTATCTCAAATGAGGAATAAAACTAGTTTATATTTATAATCATTGAAATAAACTTTAGAAATAAAAGTAGACATGATAGTAAATTCAACAGGTATGTTACTGTCACATCTGTACTTCCACAGAGATAAGTAAGGTTTTCAAATATGCATAAATATATATTCAAGTCTGGTATGCTGATGGTGATGACCATATATCATTTTTGTCATCTATTTAGTAATTACTTTATGCTTTATTCTAGGCATTGAGCGGAGTACTTTTTCACACAGTGCTTCACAATATAGACAATTCTTTATTCTGATGTTCATACTAATTAACATTGATTCATTGGATACAAAACCTATACAAAACTCTGAACAAAACTGAATCGGCAGTATGAATTAATAAATTTGGGCCCATAGTCCTATACTTTGTTTCGTCTTACTTACAGTCATTAGGTGAATGTCTTGTCCTTGGTGAAATAAGCAATAGGAAGTACTAATCAAATTTTGATATTTTAGTAAGAATTTTGTAGATGTGATGCTCTTTCAGGTCCTACTATAGAGCTACTTTTGCATAACTCCTGAATCAGTATCTATCAGTGAAACTAAGACTATTGGAATTTAAAAAACACTGTGGATTTGGTTTCTTTTTTGTGTATAGAGAAGCATTGGAAGTGATTCTCAAGGTAGAGCAACAGCTGCTAACAACAAACGTCAGCTTAGTGAAAACCGGAAGCCCTTCAACTTTGTGCCTATGCAGATTAATACTAACAAGAGCAAAGATGCTGCTGTAAGTCCTCAAAAGAGAGAAATGATTGGATCAGCACAATGTAAAGAGTTGTTTGCTTCTGCTTTAAGTAATGACCTTTTGCAAAGCTGTCAAGTCTCTGAAGAAGATGGGAGAGGAGAACCTGCAATGGAGAGCAGCCAGGTGATTAAATCTGTGTCTTTTGTTCTTTGCTTTCATAAACCTCAAAGTAAAAACATTAAGATTTTTTTAAAAGGTATATTGTTTATGTAGAAATTTTAAGTAGAATTACAGTATTTTCTTATCTTCATGAATCTCAGAATTTTTCAAAATAAATCAGGTAATTTCTTTTTACCCAAAATGGTTGTAGAAATGACATATTTAGGTAAATGAAGACTTCTGTTTATCTGCTGAATATTATATTGCCCATTTTTAGTAAAGGGGGGGCTGGAAGAATGTGATTCACTGATTATTGTTAACAATTTTTTTAAATGGTTATCTAATTCTCTTGAAAAATGCTTTCAGATGAAAGTATAAGACTTTTTTGTAAAGAGCTACTATGTAAACATTAGAAAGAAATTTATATAAATAATAGTTTGAAGTGGGGCCTCCCTCGTGGGCCATGGGGTTAAGCACAGCACTGTGACGCTATCCGAAGCCTCTGCAGCTTGTGTTCGATCCCCAGCCGGCCAGGGAGCTACTCACATGGCGCAGCAGACCTCTCCTGTCTTGCCCGCTGCTCCCCTTAGCAGTGTATTTCAGTCAGTCTGCCTGTTCTGCTCCCCACTCTGTCTCTGGTGAATCTTCTCACCCTGACACCTCTGGGTTGTACCCCATTTCTTGTATGCATAAATCTTTCAAAAAAAAATAAGAGTTTGATGTAGTGTTACAAATAAAATTTTTTGGGTCACATAAATTAAAACTAACTTTGGATTTATTAAAATTAACAGTAGTTGGAGTTGTTACTATTGCCAGATATGCCTTGATTGAGTTCTAAATTTGATTCAAATCTTTTGCAAGTGACTATTTATGGAAAAAAACAGAAGTAACATTTGGCAATTTAAAAATCTATGAAATTGTTGCTGCTGCATGAATTGCGCTCAATTTTGTATACTGTTAACTTTCATGCTTTTTAAAAATAATTTCCATTGCAGATTGTAAGCAGGCTTGTTCAGATTCGAGACTATATTACTAAAGCTAGTTCAATGCGGGAAGATCTTGTAGAGAAAAATGAAAGGTCTGCTAACGTTGAGCGCCTTACTCATCTGATAGATCACCTTAAAGAACAAGAAAAGTCATATATGAAATTTCTCCAAAAAATTCTTGTAAGTTTTGAACATTTTAAATACTGTGTTGAGTTATTTTTGCATTAGTGTGCACATACCGATGACATTCTGGTGCCACCCCAGAGGAATTAACATTTTCAAAAAATCGTGCCATCCATTATGACATTTTATTGCCCTTTTTAATAGTTGTATGATTTATACTACTAAAATATTTCAGGCTAGAGAAAATGAGGAGGAGGATGTTCGGACTATAGATTCAGCTGTGGGATCTGGTTCTGTAGCTGAGAGCACATCGCTAAACATAGATGTGCGGTCTGAGGCTTCAGATACCACGGTAAGCGGCTTTTCGGTAATTAAAGTGCTGGAAATGAAGATTTAAACTTTGCCCCCATATTTCATCGTGATATTTTTGTAGGCATTCCTTAATGAAGGTATATTTCAGGGAAGAAACCCTCAAATTGTTAATGCTGTGTTAAAACACAGAAGTTTGTAAGTTTTATTTACTAACATTAATAATTTTAATGGTTGATATAACATCTAGTAATATCTTTTCTTCAGCTTGCAGAAACATGGCTTTTCTAGTTTACTTAAGCACAGCTTTATTCATTTGCAGGAGCAATGGGAAAGTTAAAATTCATAACGGGTATAAGGGCTGCAAGTACAGAGTATCATTAGTGATTGCTTATCTTATTGTCTATCGGAAAAGACTTAAACTTCGTTTTCCATGGAGGGCACATTAGCCTATTAGGATTTCTCATTCCTCAGTCTAGAACTGTAGCGAAACAGATGGCCAAAAAATTGAGAAGACTAGAAAATATGACATGTAACATTTACGTTGTTATTTATAGTGAGGAGAAATATAATTTCTACCTGCAAAATGAAATTTATCGAAATACTGTCTCTTGGAAAAATAATAAGAAATTCAGAGAAACCTGAGGGAGATTTATAGTCATCTTAGTTCATGGAAGTCAGTGTGCTTCAAAACTAGTGTGATTTCAAGCATTTTTATTTCAACAGACACTAGCACCTATTACCAGTGGAGCTTTTCTTTGTGAAAGGCTAACAATGTGTGTTTCTGAGATATGTTCCAGAACATCACTCAGCATTAGGAATTTGGGGGTTTGTTTCCATTTAGTACTGATTTGCATAGTTTCTTATCTACCTCTTTTCTCTTCCCTGCCCTTCCTAATTTGAAGAGGAAATTTCAATTTTTTTTTTCTACATTATTTTCACCAGGAGATACTCAAAGACTTGATTCAAACATTTGTTGAAGAGTGGATTCTCTGTGGGGAAATAGTTTTTCTATTAACAGTGGTGCTGGGAATGTTTTCTTCCTTGCATTTCATTCCAACAGTAATAAAGGGGTTGGAGCTTGTGGGTAAAGGAATTCTGTTGGGAAAGGGCGGGAAATGCTATAGTTGGTTATTACTGTTTACATTCTAGCATATATAGTGTTCAACGTGAGAATTTATTTCATAACTTAAAATCATGACATTATGAAAGTTTATTAATAACATAGCAAAATAAATGTTAAAATGTGCCTTAGTGGTTTTTGTAGCTTAGAAATTGCCTAGGATATGATACTCATTTAATTACAGTAAACCAACAGTCTAGTGTACAGAAACTTCAAAGTTTAAGTTTACTGCCACTTGGTGGGAGGGTGGATTGATTTTTTTAAAAAGATGGACTGGTAAATTTTTTGTTTTTATTCATAAGACTGGCTTGTATGTCAAACAGGAGTGTGTGTTTTAAGAAATTAATATGCTACACTATTTAATAAAGGAGGCATCTTTTAGTCTGAGAATTCGGCCGTGCATTGAGGACAAACTAGGGAATTCAGCTTCACATGAACAGGTTTCAGACTTTGAGGTTACTACAAGTTCCAAAGGGAAAGGTGACAGGCCTCCTCAGAATGACAGGGAACTGAGGCCTAATAGGAAATATAGCCGAAAACGTGGATTTCCCTCACAGGTATACTTAACGATGTTAATTTGGGAAGTCTCTAAATGAGCATCTCTTTTGTTCATATTTCCTCTTCCGTACTTGCTTTTTGTTGTTGCTGTTACTCTTAAATATGTAAGTTATTAATGTGGTTAGTTATTAGGCTGTAATTTTCTATTGTAAAATGCTGTCCTTAGTGTTTTTCTTTTTTCTGCTCTCTTGTGCTCCTCTGGCACCTGTATTTAATTTGCATTAATAAAGGATAGGAAATTTTATCCAGTTTTCTTCTTTTGTTATTGAGAGTTCAAAATATAGCATTCTTAAACCTTGACATTTTAGTTGCCTTTTGTCTTTGATATTTTTGTTCATGGCTTAAATTACGTTAGTACTTTTATTCTCATAATCATTCATTAAAGAAAAAAGAAAAGCAAGCGCTTTGCTTTCCTGTCTTCTAAGAATAAAATGTTTTTGTTGTGTTACTTAGTTTGTATTTTTGTTTCTTTTAGAAACCTCCTTTTTTTTTTTTTTTTTTCTGAAAGTACCCAGTTGACTTATTTGTTAATGTTTGCATTTCCCATTATTTGCATAAAGGCGCTTAGGAAAAAGGCTTAAAAACAATTACTTGTGTAGTCCTTTTAAGTGAATATTTAAGTCGCTTAAACTAGTTTCTTGCAGTTTATGCCAGTATGATTCTTTTATCATCTCATTCCTTAGTTCTATCAGAACTTTGTTCATAAAATGATTTTAATTTCTTAGAAAAAGCTGTTAATTCCCATCAACTAACTATTCTTTCTCTGCTCTACAGAATCTGTTGTTTTTTCCACCCTACTTTCATCCTTCCTAATATCCTTTCAAAATGTAGTACTTTTGTTAGGTGAGTAGGAAAAGAAGTTGAGGTCTTAACTGAGATTTACAGTTTAAAGCTGTCTTGTGAGTTGTAGCTTGATATGAAATGATTGATATTCTCAAACTCTGCCTATAGGCACAGAATCCATTTTGTGGAATATTTTATAGTCAGGATGGCATTCTGCATAATTTTTTAAAAGGAACATTCCGCTATTGCTCATGCCTTCATTGTTTTCACATTTCATCTCCCCCCCCAACACACACACTTTATCTTATCTCTTAGAGAAATTTATAAGGGTATAAATTCTGATTTTTTTGGCTTTTTAAAATCATTTCTAGTTATTTCATTTGTGCTAGTTTTCTCTCCCAAACCAGACTATTCTTTAGAGATTGTATCATGGAATTCTTGTTTAGAACTATCTAAACACATAATTTTGGGGTACCATATGGTGTAAAACACACTGAACTAGATTTGATTCCTCCCACTCATGATACTGGATAAATCACAGTTTTAACCTCTTTGGGATTACAGTTCCTCACCTTTCACATGAAAAAATTAGAATACATGTTGTCTGAAGTCCTTTCAGCTGTAATATATTTGGATTCATGAAGAATTACTGGAGGAACTTTAGTTGGTGAGAGGAAAAGAAGACTTAGGGTCTTCTGAAATTGGACTGTTAACTTGTATGCAATTCAGGATCTTATTCTAAAGATAACTATTTTTTTAAATCTATAAGTACTTGTGGAAGGTGACAAAAAAGTGGGCCTCTTTTTTGTTTTTTTGTTGCATGTACTGTCTTCTTGGTACGGTCTTTTTTTTTCTGTTTTCTCATCTTCTCTATATTTGATCAGTTTTTGTAGGTATTTGTCCGATGTGTATTTTTATGCATGCGAAATTATTAAGCAGTAATAAATTCCCACTGATTGAGAATTATTAGGAATTCATTTTTGGGTTAGCAAAAAATCGAAGGTAATAGTTTTATAGAACTCCTTACAATTCTGAAGTTTTAGAGCGTCAAAGTTTTGCAAATAAATGTAATTAACAAGGATTAACGTTGTTTTAGAAAGTTTGCTTTTTAAGAGTCCATAGCGATAAATTGTCTAGTAAACTCTTAGATGGCTTTAGGGATGTCCTGAGGTCTGGACAATTTTTGAGAAATGGGAGGATTGTAAATTAGGTTGGAGATATGCATTCTTGAAGGTATTTTTCCCTGATAACTTTTTACCTTATTTGCGTAATGTTTAATTCCCTTTGATACTTTGCTCTAGTATTTGATTAGTATGAACCTGCAGAAATTTCTGTGTGTCCTTACGTAGGATTCTGCACCTGTTTGAGCCTGGTTTTAAATTTCACCAGTGACTTTTTTTGGAATTATTTTAGATTAATCTGAGAGGGCCAGCTTTTGATAGTTATTCCTCCCCCCTCAAATTGTTTTTTCAAGATGTCAGCAGTTTTGAAGTAAGCCAGAACTATGAAGAGATGAATTTTGACAGGAATAAATGTAAATGTTAACAAGGTAATTCCACTTACATGGGAAGAACAGAGTAAATAGTAGTGAATTAGAAAAGGTTTTAATTTACTGGAAATGTAGGACAACAGAAAATCTCCAATGAGTAGTGACTTAACCAATATAGATTATTTCATGAAATCTAGTCAGTCAGTACAGGATATAGCACTGACTGGAAGTCTCTGATATGTACATCAAATATCCTAATCATAGTATATCACTAACACTTTGATCTTCCTGCAGTTGCGTAATTTTGAGCCGTGTGCTTAAATTTGCCCACTTAGTAATTTTATTAATTGCAAACTTACAGTGTAAAATATTTCCAGCAGTTACTCATTTTTTTCCTTATTCACACAACTGATGAGTTCTGCTTGGAGAAGTAAAATGGAGTTTTTGCATAGTATTAGTCAAGATTATTACCCAGGAAAGAATTCCTCTGTGTTCACCATTATTTCTGTGGAATTAAATGTATATAGGGAAAGTATTTCACTGAATTTTTAATTTGAAATCATTTACCTTCTTTATATCCCTTAGTAACTTTCATTACTAAGGAAACCTAGTAACTGCTTAACTCCAGTAAAAATTTGATAACAATGCAAATTTAAAATTGACAAATAGTCCTAGATTAATAGAAATATTTAACATAAATATTAAGTAAAAGCATAAACTATTAGTTTTTTTTCCTGAGGCAAATCAGTGATGAAAAGTGCTATTATGGTATAAATTTCATGCTAATTTTCTTATAATTACTGTTTCTGCATTGTATTTAAATCTTGTTGCTTCAATTGACTTTTTTCTTTTGGGGTGACATTTGAATAGATTAATTATTAATACTTAAAATTTCATAATTTTTTTACAAGTGCCACCTATTTAATCTGTTCTCTATTAAGGTAAAATGATAATCTAGCTTTTGAGGTAGTATTTTAAGGTATTCTATTTTGTGTTCTCAGACTTAGCTAAGCAAGCATTTTTTTTTAATGACTATTATTAATGAAGTGCCATTGTTTTACATTTTTGTTAATTTTTTGACAATACAGGATTTCTTTCCTCAGATGTGGTCACCATAGCTCTCCCACCACCAGAGCACCCGTAGTCTTCCTCCATAGTTTTTTGTGCTGCCCCTGCCCCCAGTGAGCATATTTTAAAGTAATGGCATTTTTAATACAAAATGTAAAATTTTCTGCATTTTTGTACACTTATGTAATGTGATACAGTTACAGTAAAGCCTTTCACGTTAGCTTTATCAGATAGAAAATGTATTTTAAAAATTTCTGTCCTTGGCCTTTTTTTGTCTTTTTGTTTGTATGCTGTTTTTCTTAATTTCCTTTGGGAATTTCTCCTCATGATCAGCCATGAAAGCCTATGCTTTTTACCATTAAATTACCTAACTCTTAATGTCAGAGGCTGTATCTGTATTTTTACTTCTTTTCCTTCAAGTCTACTAAAACTGTATGTAGGATTATAGATTTAATACTGAATCTGTGTATGTATTTTGCCATTGGTAATTGAACTATGAATATTAATAGTCAGATGTAAGTATTGTTGGTCTTATTTTCCAGGCCAGAGACCCTCAACAGGAACCTCTAGAAGAGATAGAAAATTTGAAGAAACAGCATGATTTACTAAAAAGGATGTTACAACAGCAGGAACAATTGAGAGCTCTGCAGGGACGACAAGCTGCCCTTCTTGCTCTGCAACATAAAGCAGAGCAAGCTATTGCTGTGATGGATGATTCTGGTATGCTACGGACTTAAAATATTTTTATAAGCAAGATTCAATAAGGTGGATGCTGGTTATCATATAATCAGATCTTGATTGTTAACTAGTTTAGAAACCTACATGTGAGGCTTATCCTGTCCTTGCTTTTTTCTGGTTATGCAGAAAAGGTTGCAGGGACAGCTTCTGGCCATCATATTGTAATGTGCAGACAGCCATCTTGCTCTCCTTTTCGTCAGAAAGTACCCTTAAGAGGTAAAAGGGTCAGACTGTAGTTTTGTGTTTTTATCTCAGATTGAAAAGCTTTTTGATGGTTTTATTTCCCCCTTTATATAAATATTTTTTAAAGTTTTTTTTTTTTATGCACACAAGAACCAGGGTATAGGCCAGATGCGCGGGAGGGTGAGAGGATTCACCAGAGACAGAGCAGGGAACAGAATAGGCAGACTGACAAAATACACTGCTGAGGGGAGCAGCAGGTGTGACAGGAGAGGTCTGTGGCGCCATGTGGGACCCTCGCAGGCCAGCCGGGATCGAACTGGCGCTGCAGAGGCTATGGACAGCTTTACAGCGCTGCGCTCAACCGCCTGTGCCACCAGGGGATGCCCTCCCCTTTTATATTTTATTCAATTGAGATCTTGTACTTTTCTTCCCTAGCAAAGAAAGGTTAAAACTTTGAGTAGTAAATAAATTTATAGAGCATCTTTAACTTCTGAAGTTAGTAGTAGTTATTTCAGTTTGGTATTCTATTATACATGCTAGTTTCTTTGAATGTATATTTTATATAGTCTTACTGAGACTCAGAAATGTTCTATCTTCTTCTTCCCCTGATAGTTGTATATCATTTTGGTGGTAATTATATTGAATTTTTTAGTCTTAATATTGTAGTTTTTCTCATCACTTCCAGGTGTTTATCATTAAGCTGAAAACAAATTGTTACTTACTAAAATGCAATAAAAGTAAGGTTTATTCTCATAATCTATATCCACCATCCCAGTCTAATAATTTATTTCCTGGAGGTGTCTTCCTCACTGAGATTACCCTGTCATTATTCAACCCATCTTCCTATCCACCTAGTCCACTGACTCCATCCTCTGTTACACATAATTTAATTTTGCATTTTTATAAGGAACTTTATAAATTGCAAGTAACTTATTTTTAATATATAGTTACATATGATATATGTAGTACATAGTAATAATTTTACAGATTTTCATTCTCATTTTTCCTTTACAAAATACAAAGCATATTTAGCTTCTACATTTATATTTAGGAAATAGGTGATTGAGGGGGAAAAAAATATTCTACTGTAATGACCAAGACTAGTTAATAACTAACTTTTTAAATACTTTAAAAAATATGTATATTGCAAGTTTGGAATACCAGATTTAAAAGACTGGCTTATGTTATTTCAAATAGTTATATTTATATCCTGTCCTTTGATCATCACAAAATTATGGGTTAGCTGTTAGAGCTGTTTTTCATATTCCCCATTTTATAGGGAAGGAACTCTTAACACAGTTTGCAAGTTATCTAGGCTTATATGGGATTTTAGTAGAGTCAGATCTATTGAATTCTAGGTCTGGCTCTAGTTCTGAATATGAACTTTCATTTTAAATTAGCAGATAATTTCTTTTTTCAAAAGTAGTATTATGAGACAGAGACAAGGAATAGGATTAACAGGAATTTATATACTATATCAAAAGAACTTTTGGTTAGTAATTTTGAAGGCGATTTCCTTTTATATTTATGATACTTTGCAGGGGAAAACTGATGAAAACCCAAATTTATAGTATTTAATAGTCTATATAAAAGAGGTAATATAATTGTAATGTGCTAACTATCAAATTGTGTTAGTTATCTAGACTTCAGTTTTTTTCTTTTCAAAATGGAATTTGGACTAGATATATAGGATTCCATCCAGCCCTGAAATTCTGATTTCTCAGTGGAAAAAAAAAAAAAACAGCTAGTATTTTCCTTAGAAAAAGAAGCAATTTACAGTATTTCTCTTAAAGTTGAAGAGAATAAGCAGGGAGCTGTTGGGTAGTAGAACAGTAACTGTTCTCAGAATTGTCACTACAATATGTAGCCTTAGGAAGATACAAACTATAGTCTTTTAATGTGGCTTGTATTACAGATAGTTCTTCAATAAATATCTGTTCAACTCTGTCAGCTATGGCTGGCTGGGTTTGACCCACTGCATAAAATAAAGTTTTATGGGACACAACCATACACCCTTTTGTTTATGTATTACCTGTGGTTGTTTTGTCTTACAATGGCAGGTTTGAGTCATTAAGACAGAAACTGTTCTCACAAAGTCTAACATAGTCGCTATTTGAGTGTTTAAGAAAAGTTTGCCAGTTCCTGTTCTAGGACATTGATACTCTGGTAGGTATTGAGACATGTCAGTATCAGCTGTGTTGAAAGACTACCATTTTCCCTGTCAGCCTCCCAACCCAACCTACCTGTATCTACCCCCACTACATGGACTCACTATTTTTAATTGGGACACAACAGTACCCTTCATTTTATGTTGGGATAGAAAGATGAACAACTAAACTAGTTTTGTTAGTGTTCCTTTATTTTCAGTCAAATGGAAACTCCAGAAAATGATGTTAGCAGATAAATCTGAGGGTTAACTAGTTTTAAATTATGTTAGGTGAGATTATTTTTCATTTTGTTTTTGCTCCCAAATTTATTTTTGGCTTCTCAGAAATTGAAAAGGGAGTGTATTTGTTTTAGTGAATAATTGTTAATTTTCTTTGCAGTTGTAACAGAAAATACAGGCAGTTTATCTGGAGTCAGTATCACATCTGAACTTAATGAAGAATTGAATGATTTAATTCAGCGATTTCATAATCAGCTTCGTGACTCTCAGGTACTTAAAATTTTTACATAATTTGAGTTTATAATTACATTAATTGAAATAGTGTTTCTTAAACTTCATTGAACATAAACATACCTGCCCAATGCTTTAAAAAATGAAGATTCCTTGTCAGGGGCTTCCCTGTACATAATTCCAGCGCTAGTAATTTGGGGACTAGACTTTGAGAAACACAAAATTAGAAGCAAATCTGCATTGAATGAAGTAATAAGTGGAATCTTCCCTTTATATCCTACTAGGTGACACTCTTTTTTTTCCTTTTAAAGATTGGTAATGGTTACAGCTTTTAAAATTAAGTTGTGTTGGAATCTATGTTCTTGCAATATTTTACTAACAATTATAAGAATGTTCTGAAGCTTAATTTCAGAGTTAATAAGTGTTATAATTTGATGATGACCTTTGTAAATTATGAAAATGCAAAATTTCAACATATTAAATATTAATTTTTTAAAAAAAGATTTATTTATTTATGCATACAAGAACTGGGGTGTAAGCCAGAGGTGGGACTGTGAGAGGATTCACCAGAGAGAGTGGGGAGTGGAACAGGCAGATCTACTAAAATACACTGCTGAGGGGAGCAGTGGGCGAGACAGGAGAGGTCTGCTGCACCATGTGGGTCAGCTCTCTGGCTTGGGATCGAACTTGTGCTGCAGTGGCTGGTGATAACTTGATAGTGCTGTCTTCAATCCCTGCACCATTAGGGAGGCCCAAGGTCAAATTAAATTAAATTAAATTAAAGATACATTGTCTCCGGTCTGCTCACCAAGTAAAAGTAAAAGACTATATGGTCTAACCATTTTGGAGAGTCATTTAGTAATTTATGATAAATTTTTTCCAGTGACCCACCTCAGAGAAACTCTTACATGTTGACAAGGAGATAAAACATTTATAAGAATGGTAGATACTTATTTGTGTATGTTGGTTATCTCTGGAGAGAGTAATGGAATTGGGGATTGGTACTTGTAAATCTTTAGCTATCTGTAACTTGTTATTTCTCCTAAAAAATCAGTGGAACTGATGGGGCCACCCTCGTGGCCTGTGCGTTAAATCTCAGCACTATCTTTGCTTCGGGTTGAGTTCGATCCCTGGCCAGGGAGCTAACCCACATAGGGCACAGCAGACCTCTCCTGTCTCACCTGCTGCTCCCCTTAGTAGTGTATTTTAGTAAATCCACCTGTTCTGCTCCCCTCTCTGTCTCTGGTGAGTCCTCTCACCCCACACACCTCTGGCCCTATACCCCAGTTCTTCTGTGCAAAAATAAATAAATAAATGGAACTGATGCAGATGTAACAAAATATTTAAGGTTTGACTAAGCCCGATGGTGATTATTCATTATATGATTAGTGATAAAGCCTTGGTGGACTTTGAAATGTTTCATAATTTTTTTTAGCTACAGGGACACAGAAAGAAGTAGGAAAACTGATAGAAGAAGTAGTTAAATTTTATGATGGATAGTAGTTCTAAAAAGATGGCAAAAGAAGAATTTAGGTCCAGGTAGTAATAATATCCAGTGTATCCAAAACCAGTGTGAGATTAAATGTGTCTAAAATAACATACACACATATACATATAGATAACACTTAATAGAGTGGCATATCAGAAAACAGTATCTAATTGGAGATAAAAAATGGAAAAGACATTCTTAACCACTAGCACAACCTTGGCAAATATTTATTTCTTTTTATAAGAATATTCATGCATTTTATAAATGAAGATGCAACCTTTAATTGCACTAGTTTTATTTTTTCCTTTTTTTTTTAATATATATAAGCCTCCAGCTGTTCCAGACAATAGAAGACAGGCAGAAAGTCTTTCATTAACTAGGGAGGCTTCCCAGAGCAGGAATCCATCTGTTTCGGATCATTTACCTGATGAGAAAGTTCAACTTTTTAGCAAAATGAGAGTGTTACAGGAAAAGAAACAAAAAATGGACAAATTGCTTGGAGAACTTCATACACTTCGAGATCAGCATCTGAACAATTCATCATGTAAGTAAATCTGGCTTAGCAATATTAGCATACACATTAGTATATATGCTGGCACATGATAGTAAAATATTTGGTGAATTAAATGATCACATATTCCTTAAGAAATATAAAATTTTTCTGAAAAAATAGTACTTACAGGTGAAGACTTTTTAAGTAGCAAGGCATTATATGATAAAAGCCCAATAAATGGTAGAGCTATAATTCAGACAAGGGAAAGGAGAAAGTTGAACCTTGAAAGATAGGTCAGATTTTAATATGCATAGGATTTTAATAAGGGAAAGGTAGAAAAGAAAGAATTATGAGATACTTGGATATAATAATGTAGTTTTTAGAATATTCAAAATTTTCTTTTAAAAACAAATCCAAATTAGTACTTTGATTTAAAACCTATGAACCTGATTTATAAAGTATTTATATGAAAAAGAGATAAAAACTTACATAGTACATATGGTTTAATGGAGAAAGTCCATAACTTAAATTGTCTTAAAAATACATAGTCATCTCAGAAGGGGCTAGGAAAGGCATAGTCATTCTAGTTAAACTAGTTATGTTAGTTACATAGGAAAGGCAGTAGTCATCTTCCTAATTAAACTATGGCACCTATTTTTTTCTGCCGTATAGAAGTTGTCTAATTCGTGTCTGGTTGCTAGTTCTCACTTGCTTTCCTTGTATTGTCTTCTCGAGCCTGGCTCCTGCCTATTACCCAGTTAGTGATAGGTGCTTTTACATTGGAAATGAGACTCAGTAGGGGCAGCCTCAACTGGTCAGTATTCTGCAACATCCCAGCTGCTGTCTTAGTAAAGAAAAGGCCAGCAACATCTTGGAGTCCCTGTTCCTTATTTTTGCCTATCACCTGTTTCTCTGCCACCCCCAAAAGAATCTTACTTTTTTTTTGCCTTGAACATGTTCCTTTATTTTCCCTGAACATACTCCTTGATTTTCCCTCTGCTGGTCTCTTTTTGATTATAATCTGATCACAGTGTTCCGCTTCCTAAACAAAAGAAACACTTAAAATTCTAATGTTGTACTCAAGACCTTATGGTCATTTTATACACATAAAGAAAGCAGCACACTGCCCACCAATGACTTTTAAAAAAATCATCCCCACCATCCTGCACTGGGAAACTGAGGGCACAGCAAAAGGTATAGCAGTCAAGGAATAGAGTGAAGAGGTTTTATGGGAAGCAGCTATAGCAGCTGTGAGAAAGAGATAAGTGACAATAGTTTTTGGTTGTTTTTTTGTTGTTGTTGTTTTTGAAGTAACAACATTGCATTATAGTATTATATATTGTTGCAGTTGTGCATCATTGGAAATCAGTGTTTGTATGTACTATATCGAGTTCACTGCTAAAAATTCAATTTTGTCCCTTATACCATTATCCCACTTCTGATGTAACACTCCTCCTCCCTTTGGATAACCACTAATTGATTTTAATTAAAGTTTTTTTTATTTAGCTCATCTGTTTGTTTTCTCTATACCACATATGAGTAAAATTATATGATGTGTCTTATTTTACTAAGCATAATACCATCTCTGTGCTCTTGTAATGGCGGGATACCATTTTTTTCCCCATGACTGAATATTCTGTTGTATATAGATAGCACATTTTTCTCCATTGTCAGTTGATAGACTCTTAGGTTATTATCAGTTCTTGTTTGTTGTAAGTAATGCTCCTGTAAACATGGGGACATGTATCACCACAATACTTTGTTGTTTTTTAAATCAGGTAAATACTCAAATAGGATAACTGGACCATATGGAATATGTTTTTCATTTTTTGAGGAATCTCTACACCGCTTTCCATGATGGCTTTTCAATTTATATTTCCACCAATAGTGTATAAGGTTTCCCTTCTCTCCAGTCTCTAATTTGTTTCCTTTTTTTTTTTTTTTTTTAAGATTTATTTAATTTCTTTTTTTTATACAAGAGCTGAGGTACAGGCCAGAGGCGTGGGAGGGTGAGTGGATTCACCAGAGACAGAGCGGGGAACAGAACAGGCAGACTGACGAAATACACTACTGAGGGGAGCAGTGGGTGAGACAGGAGAGGTCTGCTGCGCCATGTGGGAATCTCCCTGGCCAGCCAGGAATCAAACCGGTGCTGCAGAGACTACAGACAGCTTCATAGCACTGCGCTCAACCCGCTGTACCACCAGGGAGACCCCTAAATTTGGTTCCTTTTAAATAATTCTCACAAGTATGAGGTGATATCTCACTGTTTTTATTTGCCTTGATTAGGAAAGTATTAGGACAGTGGTCTAGTTTTGTTCTTTTGCATATGACTCTCCATTTTTCCCAACACTATTTATTGGAGAGACTTTCCTTATTCCATTGTAAGTTCTTGGCTTCTTGTAAATTAGTTGTGTGTGGGGGGGGCGGTATTATTTTTGGTTCCTCAATTCTCTTCCATTGTTCTTTGTGTCTCTTTATTCCAATGCCAAACTGTTTTAATTATTATCACTTGTGGTAGAATTTAAATTTGGGAGCATGATACCTCCATTTTTTCTTTTGCCTCAGAAGTGTTTCTGCTATTAGGGGTCTTATTTGTAGTTCCAAATAAATTTCATAATTTTTTGTTCTATTTCTATTAAGAATGTCACTGAGATTGTGATAGATTGCATTGAAATTTGTATTTTGCTTTAGATGATACAGCTATTTTAATGATATTAATTCTTCCAACCTAAAAGCATGGAATACCTTTGCATCTCTTTGTGTCTTCTATGTCCTTCAGCAATGCCTGATAGTTTTAGGTATATGATTTATTTCTTTGGTTAAATGTATTCCAAGGTATTTAATTCCTTTTGTGGCCATAATAAATAGAACCCTGGTTTGCACTGGCAGCCTAGCTGTGTTTCCCCAATCCAGACTACAGCCTCCAGGTATTTCTCTCCATCCAGTGAAATGTGAATCTTCTCACTGTCCTCTCTAGTGCAGTCTATGTGGCCTCTGAGGTACTAAGAGTATTTAAATCTCACCCCAAGCTGTGGGACTCTCTTAGTATTATATTTCTCTAGTTAATTCTTAGTTGTTCTTCTTGGGTACAAAATAAGGAACTTTTCCTATTAACATTGTGGTGTGGTCCTTGAGAAGTTTTAAAGTAGTAGTAGAATTGCTGAAACTCTTAATCTTACTTATTACCTTTGAAGGCATAAAATATCTTTGTCCACTCTATATGGACAGAAAAGTAATATGTATTTCAAAGACTAGAGGATTAACCATCATCTAATTAGAAAAGTTTATTGCTGAATATATTTCATAGTATTTTGTACCACAGACACTTGATCAATTTTGCATTATCTTTTGAAACATGAATAGTTTTCTTCTGAAGGTGAGCTATGATTCCTCTGAATTATAGATTTGGAGCACCCTTAAGGACCTAATCTGTTAGGACTGTCCTATCAAGATGTGTAGATGGTATACTGCACATCATTATACAGCAACCCTTTTTAACTTACCAGAGAACCAACAATAACATATGACTACTCTAAATACTTTCCCAAGGTAGAGTATCATATTTGTTGTTACTATTTATTTCTTCTTGTTCTTTCCCTTCTGTTTTTAACTCTGATTGAGGGATATATTGTATCCCTAAATTTCTAAAATTTAAAGCTGCAGAGTTTAAGATGGTAATAATTTTGACTTTTAATTTTTCTGTATCCAGTCAAATTGTGCAAGTTAGTAACTGGTCTTTTTACTTTTTTTTTTTTGGTAGTTGTGCCTTCTTCAGCCTCTCCACAAAGGAGTGCAGATCAAAGAACTACAGCCTCAGCTCCCTCTGCTCCTGTGGGCTTAGCACCAATTGTCAACGGAGAATCCAATAGCCTCACATCCCCCGTTTCTTATCCTGCTGCTTCTCTAATTTCTCAGAATGAGAGTGAAAATGAAGGCCATCTAAATCCAACTGAAAAACTCCAGTAAAACATTTTTTACAAACATTATTTACATAGATTAGAATTAAATAATGGGAGTAAATTCTGAGGCTTTTTTCCTTTATGTTGAAAGTTTTGGAAAAACTAATTTAATATGATAAGCAGCTTTAAGTGATATGGTGGGGGAAGCGTACAGTATGTTATATGTACATCTTAGAGTTGTCCGAGAGAAATGGGATATGGTAATAACAGGTAATTTCTTTGTGCTAATGCTATTCCCATTTTCCACTAATGGTTTAGCAATAGCTGTTATTACAGATAAGAATCCTGTGTTCAAAAGATCTAGACCCCAGACTCTAGATTCTTCACATGAAAAATAGGGATAATATACCTGCTTATAAAAGTGTTTTAAGGATTCCTCCCCCCAAAATTGGCACTTAGAAAAACTCAACAAACTTAATTGTTATTTTTGGTAAACATAATTTGTAGATCTCTACATATTGCATTCAATGCCTGCACCTACCATTTTGCCTGAGAGGTAATATTTACATTGAATATCCAGTACTTCACATTTTTAATACTTATTCAGAAACCTGGGAGTATTTTTGACATTGAGTTTTATGCTGTTAACATTTGTGATTGATTACTTAAAAGGACACTTCAAAATGCTTTTGACCCTGATACAGTGTAAGAAAATACAATGATGGGATTTTGAGTGAGGTATTCTTAAAATTCATTACTTTACAGTTACACCCCCTGGATGTTTGACTAGGTCTAAATTTTGTGCTGGCTGCTATTATTTGAAAATAATGTAGGGTTTTAGCTTTCAAAAAAGGGCTATTAATATATTTTGTTTATCAGGAAGTTAAATGAAGTTCGAAAGAGATTGAATGAGCTAAGAGAATTAGTTCATTATTATGAGCAAACATCAGATATGATGACAGACGCTGTAAATGAAAACACAAAAGATGAAGAAACTGAGGAGTCAGAATATGATTCCGAGAATGAAAACTCTGAACCAGTTACTAACATTCGGTAATTTTTTTAAAGTTTGATTTTCTAACTTACTTATCCTAATTTAGTGCTTTTAGTACAGAACAAAGCCACTCAGTTCAGTGTTATTTGTCTTTCACTAAACTTCTTACAAAACTGCTATTTTTGTCAGTGTGATCATACTTGCCCTGTAAAGAAAACAAGGAAGTGTTGATTTGGTGGTTTAGTCAATTTGCTGTTTGTAAGATCAAATGCAAGTAAATCATGAAGTATTTAACTTAACCTTCACCTACTTCTTTATTTTTAGGTGTAATTAATTTTTTAGATATTTTCTTCTTAAATTTCCAAATAGCAGACAGTTAATAAAAAGAAAGTGCCAGTTATTCACAGTTTGAATTTAAATGGAAAATAGTCAGTGATGTTCATAAGTTTTGGGATTGTTGTAGTTCTGAAACTTTTTATTCACCTTAAATAACATCAGGCTCTTTTCTTTCAGAAATCCACCCGTAGCTACAACCTGGAATGAAGTAAATAGTAATTCTAATGCACAGTGTGTTTCTAATAACAGAGATGGGAGATCAGTTAATTCTAATTGTGAAATTAATAATAGATCTGCCAACATACGGGCTCTAAACATGCCTTCTTTAGGTATGATTGATATATTCACAGTTTTGCTGTATTCTTGGGAAGTGGATTATCTTTTCATTAGTACTCTTGTAAGTTTATTAAAAAAATTATTTCAATGATACATGTTTTCAGCAGATTGTCGATATAATAGAGAAGGAGAACAGGGGATTCATGTTGTACAGGATGAAGATGATGAGGAAGAAGAGGAAGCAGAAGAGGAAAGGGTCAGTGGTGCTTCCTTATCTAGTCCTAGGAGCAGTCTGGTTGATGAGGCTCCAGAAGATGCTGAATTTGAACAGAAGATCAGCAGACTTATGGCTGCAAAACAGAAGCTTAGACAGCTACAAGATCTTGTTGCTATGGTACAGGTAAATACTTTTTTTGTTTTGTTTTGTTTTGTTTTTTTTTTTTAGTTTTATCAAAACTAATAGTGCATTAAGGTAAATCTATGTGTTTGATAATGATTATACTAGTACACTTTTATTATTGAGTTTACTATATTCCAGGTTAAGGATCTATTAGCACAATATATTCCATATATTAGAAAAGCAAACCTTTTCCATTAGAATGGGTTAATGGATATTTTAGGCTTTGTGGGGCATACTCTCTTTGTCAAAACTATTCAGTATAGAAGATGCCATAAGCAATACATAAACAAATGACATCACTGTGATCCAGTATAACTATTACAAAAATTAGTGTGTTTGTTTATTTTACTTAAGACTACAGTCTTGTATCATGTGGAACTGGTAACATCTCAATAAAATAAGTATTAAATAGATTAAAGAGGTGTTAATTTCCCAAGGTATCAGATCAGAATTTGTATTTTTTTAAGAGTAGATAAAAAGAAATAGAAATGTTAGAGTTTATACACATTTTAATGTTAAGGGACACTTCTTAATTGCTCTCCCAAATGACTAAGCAGTGGTGTATGAGTCCATTTCCCTAAACCCTTGTTTACAATTTATTGACATATAGCTTGTTTATTCATTACTGCGATTGTCTTTTGACTTCTTCCAAATTTTCACTTTCATAAATAGGGCTATTAAGAGAAAGAAGGATTATAAATACATTTGTACAAACATAACAACATGTATAAAACACATGGTTTTATATACATAGATGTAAGTTTTTGCTCATATATTCAAAGTAAATTTGTAGAAGGATATGTAACTGGTAACATTGGTTTCCAATAGAGAATGAAATTGATTGGGAGACAGGTTTGGAAAAGAAACTTTTCTAAATGTCTTTTTTATTTTTTGAACTTCAATCTTACAATTGCATTATCATTTCAGAAAATTAAAATGTTATCTAAAGCAAATAACATCTTGTATGCCATTGTACTTAGTACTTTCCCATTTTTTTCTATTAGCCAAGGTAGGAGAAATAAATCAGAAATGATGAGTAACTTGGTGGCTTATTGATTAATCAGGCTTAATTTTAGGCTTATGTTGAGTAGTGCACTTTTGCTTTAGGTGTGTCCTAAGATGTGAAATACATGAGGAAACTGCAATCCGGAGAGATTAATGGCCTCCCCCAAAAGAGAGCTAGTAAAAAATATGAACCCAAACTCCCAAGTTTTTATGTTAGTTTAAAGCGTGTTTTACTTACTAAGGGTAGTCTTTCTCTACATCCTGTTTCCCAGGAGACCCAGGAAAAGGTCTAAATTTTCATATAGTTACGTGATTATATAAAGTTATTGATTAGATTAGCCTGCAAAACCTGTGACCCTTAATGAAGCTATGTCTTTTATGAGTCTCCAGATGATCGTCTCTTTCAGTTCCTTAATCTGTAATGCAATGTATATTAAAACAATAATTCTTAAGTTAATTGTTTTTAGTATTGGAGTAACAGCATTTCAGTTGATCAGGCTGCCTTATACTACCATCTGAAACTTGAGGCAGTTTTGTTATGTACTTTTTGTTGTACTTTATTTTTTCACTTTTGTTCAATAGCCTCATGGGCCAGTTTTTGTTCTTGAATCTCAACTCCGTCTCTTTCTAATCTTCTGATACATACTAGCAATAAATTTCTTTAGAGTTTAGACTGATGTGAAGACCAGAATAATACCTGTCTACAAACTTAAAATTGATTGGTTTTTTTTTTTAATAATTCAATGAGATTAACTCTTGAATGTTTTATTAGAATGTTCCTAAAGATTGAATTTTCACATTACATCCTCAGAGAAAGCATGGACAACATGAGTAAATATAAAATACATAGTTAAATAGTTTTAAGAAAATGCAGTTGTTTACCTCCTTAACCCTTTTAATAAGTACATTGATTTCAACAGGAGATATGGCTCTCCTATTGATAAAAACTTCGTTCATTTTTTCCCCTAGTTAAGACAGATTTGAGATGCTATATTCTTCATTATTTTGTATTGATATCCATTGGCACTTGTTTGGCAAATAAAAGACCAAAGTGAGAAAATGGAAAATTTTAAACACAGCAAGTGATAATGGACATTGGTTATTTGAAGTTGTTAACATAAAAGAAAAACTAATATGAGAGTTCTCAGTGTCAGTGGTGTATTTTTTATCTTCACATTCTTTTGAAATCTCTTAATTGATAGCTCAGTATATGGTTTAGGTAAGAAAAAAACAACTTAGTATTTGTCATTATTGGGTAATTGGCAGCTCAGAATTTAAATATGCTATTTTTGCCATTGGTAGAAGGCGAACTTCATTGTTTTCTAAAATTCATGTAGTTTTTTTACTGCTTTAATTTTTATGTATGTTTTACAAATGGGTAATATTAAGATATGAATTAAGTAACATCAAGATTTTAATATAATGGTGCTGTTTTAGGATGATGATGCAGCAGATCAAGGAGTTATTTCTGCCAATACTTCAAATTTGGATGATTTCTACCCAGCAGAAGATGGCACCAAACAAAATACAAATAACACCAGAGGAAATGCCAGTAAAACACAGAAAGATGTTGGGGTAAATGAAAAGGCAAGGTGTGTGTTAAGCTTAGAACTTTTATTTACTTAAAATGTAGTGGTTTTTGTATTCAACCTAGATGCTGTATTATATCGTGCTTAATGTTATCAGTTATATTGAAGTCCACAAATAATGTCAATTTATTTGTAGAGAGAAATTTTATGAGGCGAAACTGCAACAGCAACAGAGAGAGCTCAAACAGTTGCAGGAAGAAAGAAAGAAATTGATTGAGATTCAAGGGAAAATTCAAGCATTACAAAAAGCATGTCCTGACCTACAGGTAATTAGGAAATGTTTTTCTTTCCATTTGGCTGGGAAAAGATGTTTAAAATCTAATGTCAGTTGAGGGTCTCTCTGGTAACGCAAGGGGTTAGGACGCAACCTATGAAGCATCCGCAGCCACTGCAGCCAGGGAGCAACCCACATGGCACAGCAGACCTCTCCTGACTCGCCGGCTGCTCCCCTCAGCAGTGTATTTCAGTCAAACTGCCTTATTCTGTCTCTGGTGGATCCTCCCACCCTCTTCGCCTCTGGCTTGTATCCCAGTTCTTGTATGCATAGATAGATGGTTCTTTAAAAAAAAAATGTCAGTTGAAAGTACTTTGTCTTTCTAGAGCTTTTATAGCACTTTTATGACTAATAAATAGAACAACAGGTAAAATGGTGAGGGCTATACATTTACACTGGAAAAGGTAGCACATAGGACTGGACTTCGAGTATATCATTTCTTTCACTCATTAGACTAGCTACGGATTTAGAACATTTGTAACTTAAAATATTCTGATTTGCGCTTTGTAGTTATGGACTAGTATTTCCATATTTTACTGATTTAAAGTAGACTTAAAGCCCTTAAGCCACCATGAGTTATCTAAGGAAATGAATTAAAACATTTGAAGTTAAATATGTGTACTTTGGCTTATTACATAGTACTTTATGCAGGGCCTTTGATGTTAAACAGAATGAACAATCTAACCACATTAAGTAATCAGGAGTAGGGGTCAATATGAGAAGGGACTACAATTTCTTCTTGAGATTTTTTCCTACAATTGATGGTTAATTTCATTCTTCAGTCAGGTTTTATTTTTCAAAGAAAGGGAAACACATCAAATGTTTATAAATATAACTTTTATTTTCTAGGCTCCTAACCTTTTCTACTTAATCTAATCCTTTTCCCTGATTGGAATGATGTCCAGAGGACCATAGGCTGGTGTTGGGTTGAATGTATGAAATTTATTCCTCTTGTTTCTTGTTCTTAAGGGTTACTGCTAATCAACTTTAGGCTGTGTATTCATCTTTGTTTTCTTATTACAGTTTTTCTTTGGATTATGATGCAATTCAGGTCTGATAATAAAGTAAATAGGGTATTAGAATGCTATAGTAATAAAAATAACTGCTTTTATGAAATTAACATAACTACTTTAATTTCTCCTAATAGTTTTTACTAATTCATTTTTAGCTTTCAGCCACTGGTACCAGTAATTGCCCCACAAAAAAATATATGCCAGCTGTTACTTCAACCCCAGCTGTTAATGAAAATGAAACTAATACAAGCAAATCTGTTTTTGAGCCTGAAGACTCTTCAGTAGTGGATAATGAGGTATTATATATTGTATCCTATTGTTCTTGAGCTTTAAGTCACATCTGAAGTATACTTTAGAATATTTGTGAGACTGATTTTTAAATGTTGTCTGTTTAGTATCTTTTAACTGGGGAAAGAAATAATGCTTCCAAAAGTAATTAAGTTGGGATCTTTTTAAAATAGTCTTGCTCTTTATTAGCTTATATTTGGCAGAATTATATAGTGGATAGTTATAGCAAATGGTAACCACTCAGAAAGACCTATCCTTTGGCATTTATTCATATGTGATTTGTAGAATACATCATAACTCTCTAAATGTCATTGAAGTATATTTGGGTGCTGCTTATTTTCATTAAAATGGCACTTAGTATACAAAGATATTGCAGTGTAAAAAGGATAGAGTGAGAATAGAAAGTTTTGTTGGTACTAATTATATTAGCCTATTATTTTCTAAGACTAAATTCAAATCCAAATATTAACACTAACTAGATTCTAACTTTTGGAATAATAGCTGTGGTCAGAAATGCGAAGACATGAGATGTTAAAGGAAGAGCTGCGACAAAGAAGAAAGCAGCTTGAAGCTTTGATGGCTGAACATCAGAGGAGGCAAGGTCTGGCTGAAACAACATCTCCAGTGACTGTTTCATTGAGAAGTGATGGATCTGAAAACTTATATACTCCTCAACAAAGTAGAACAGAAAAGTAAGAGTTGATTAAATCATTTTCTTAAAATCACCTTCCTAAGGCCTTCCTAAGTCAGGCAGCCTTATCACTCAAGTAAAGTTGAAAGTTGTAGAAAGGGGGTACTTAGTTGGATAAACTTTCCAGAGGGTATGATTACTATTGTAGTTTATTTGAAACATTATTTTGTGGAAGCAGAATAAATATATTCTATGTAACAGCAGTGGGGAGAGTATCGCCTATCCTGTAGTCACTGTGCTTAAACAAACTTTTATATATACACAAATGCGTGTATATATATAATTTGGAACAATATCTAATACATAGTAATTGATAAAGTATTTAGCTTATCTCCAGAATGATCATGTTTTATATTTCTTAATTGCTAGAACAATGGCAACTTGGGGAGGTTCTACCCAGTGTGCACTAGATGAAGAAGGAGAGGAGGATGGTTACCTCTCTGAAGGAGTTGTTCGGACAGATGAAGAGGAAGAGGAAGAAGAGCAAGATGCCAGTTCCAATGATAACTTTTCTATCTATCCTCCTAACAGTGTGAATCATAACTCCCATGGTGTAAAGGAAACTAAAAATAGGTTAGTTTCACAATTTTAATTTTTTGCCTCATTTGAGGAGTCTTAGCTCTGATACCAAGCAACTCCCCAGCTCTCTGAACCAAGTGGATATCCTACAATTCAATTTAATTTTGACACTAACTTGGAATTAGGGTAGACCACAAGTTAAAGGGTTCAGTTCCACAAGACTGCCCTTACTTCAAATGCCAGTCATAAATTCCAAGCCCTTGGGCATTCACACACTTCTCTCTGACTTAGCTGTGAATTTGGAAGTTCCCACAATCCCTTTTCAGGTTCTATAATTTGCTGAAACAACTCATGGACTCAGGAAAACACTTAGGTTTACTGAGTTACTATAAAAGCTACAACTTGGGAACAGCCAAATGAAAGAGAAGCATTTGGGGAAGGAGTTATGGGGCTTCTCTCTCAGCACTTCAGTGTATCCACCAACCCAGAATTCTGTTTTAGAGAGGCATCACTACATACGTATAATTGATTAAATCATTGACATTGGTGATTAAGCTCAAAATCTCTAGCTCGCTCTTCCCTGAAGGTTGGAGAATAGGTTGAAAATTCCAATCCCCTAATTACCTAGTTGGTTTTTCTAGTGACCCTCCCTATCATGAAGCTATCTAGGGCCTACCAAGAGCCGAGCAAACTTGAATTTGGTTGAAAGGGGCTCATTCTGAATAACAGAAGACACCTATCATCCCAGAGGTGTTAAGATTTTTAGGAGATCTCTTCTGGGGACCTGTGACAATGACCCAATATGTTTTATTATACTAGAAGAGTGTCTGGGGACCTGTGACAATGACCCAATATGTTTTATTATACTAGAAGAGTGTCATCAAGACAGATCCCAACTAGAATGGACCAAGATTCATAAGCTTTGATCTTTGCTCCTCTTTTGAGGAATTAAAAAGTTTTAAATCATTAATAGTGAGAAGGTCTGTCAACAGAGTCATTACCTTTTTTTATAATTGTAAACGTCGTTTCGTGTGTCAAGATAGCTAAGTACTTCCACTTGATGATGGACTGTTGTATGACTAAGCTTAAAGCATGAAGGTTGGGGAAATGTTTGTAAATTTATTTTTCTTTCTGGTTTTGTAGAATACAGAATTAAATGGATACTTATGTGTAAAACAGATGGAAAAAAAATTGGGGGAGAGTTTTTTAGATTTTTTTTTTTTTTTTTTTGGAAAAGTTTTTTTTTTTTTTAAACTGTCCAAGGCTAGAAATACAGAATCTCCCCCTACCTCTTCTCCATACCTTTTAATTCTTTTGAATATAAAAAGAAACTGACTTATGGATCGGATTTATTGACAGATTTTAAAAATCAAGTAATTACATAAGAATGATCACCCAATGCTGTAAATTTTGTTAGGTGGAAGAACAAACGTCCTTTTTCAGCGGATGGAAATTATCGTCCTTTAGCCAAGACAAGACAACAGAATATCAGCATGCAACGTCAGGAAAACCTTCGTTGGGTATCAGAACTCTCTTATGTAGAAGAGAAAGAACAATGGCAAGAACAAATCAATCAGTTAAAGAAACAGCTTGATTTCAGTGTCAGTATTTGTCAGACTTTGATGCAAGACCAGCAGGTAGAGTTTACTATGAAAGTAAAAAATATTTTAATATTGTTTTTGAAGCAGTATAAATTTTTTCCAAATCATCAGTGACTCTTCATGAAAATTTTCCTTCCCATAGACTCTGTCTTGTCTGCTCCAAACTCTCCTCACCGGTCCTTATAGTGTTATGCCCAGCAATGTTGCATCTCCTCAAGTACATCTTATAATGCACCAGCTGAACCAGTGCTATACTCAGCTCACCTGGCAACAGAATAATGTGCAAAGGTAATTGTTTCTTTGAAGTAGTGAGACTGTATAAAGTACTAAAAATGAGCAAGGGTGTTTCTGGGAGAAAAGGACATCAGCCAAATTGTATATCTGAACATTCTGTCACCTGAGAAATTTATAAGTCATTTGCCCAGTCTTCCCTTTTAGTATGGTGGACTTGAATTTTGTTTTAAAAATGTATACGTCAACTTTAGATTTATAGATTTATATTAGAATTACATGGTGTGTCAGGCCTCCCTGGTGGCACAGTGGGTTGAGCCCAGCACTGTGAGGCTGTCCGCAGCCTCCACGTCGCCAGTTCGATTCCCTGCCGGCCAGAGAGATTCCCTCATGGTGCGGCAGACCTCTCCTGTCTCACCCACTGCTCCCCTCAATAGTGCATTTTGGTCCTCCTGCCTGTTCTGCTCCCTGCTCTGTCTCTGGTGGATTCTCTCACCCTCCCGTGACTCTGGCCTGAACCCCAGTAGTTGTATAAATAAATAAATCTTAAAAAAAAAAAAGCAGTTTTTAAAAAAAAGAGGAATTACATGGTGTGTAAATTATCTCAGTAAAGCTTTAAACAACAATAAGATCATTTCTTAGAATTAAGCCTACTCTCATAAAAGTGCTAATAAGTTCAGTTCTTGTTCTAAAACTTACTGAAATAAGGACAAGCACATATTCGTTGGAGTAAATATCAGAGCATTAGACTATTCTGCATGCTTACATAAGTCATTCTTATGTATATTTTTTCTGAATATAAATAGATGGTGATATAACGGATTTTTATATTACTGACTTCTTAAATTCTTATAGGTTGAAACAAATGCTAAGTGAACTTATGCGACAACAAAATCAGCATACTGACAAACCTGGAAGCAAGGAAAGAGGCAGCAGTACATCACACCCTCCTTCTCCCAGCTTATTTTGTCCTTTCAGCTTTCCAACACAGCCTGTAAATTTGTTTAACCTACCTGGGTTTACTAATTTTTCATCGTTTGCACCAGGTAAGTGACTGAAAGAGGGAAAATAAATAAAGTACTGGAGAATACAGTTTGTGTATTATGTGGATTTTTATTCTCTTGGAATGGTAGAAAATGTTTCCAAAGGAGGTTACACACTATTGATTCTTCATAGTGAACACTTAATCTTAATATGGTTGCTAATTAAATCACTTTATGAATGATTGCTTATTAAAGAATTACCCTGTCCAGAGACTGCTGTACACCAGGCACTGTGTATAATAGGTGAATAAAAAATTAATAAGACAGTGAGGAGCTTCTTGTCTTGCTAGACTGAAGGTGAATACTTAAGTTAGGCTTATATTTAAAGTTAGGCTTTTATTCAGACATTTTTTTGTGCTCATTATGCCAGACACTGTATAAATGATAGGGACTCAAAGATACCATTTACGTTTTAAGAACTTTAGAGTCTACTGATGAAGCTAAAAATGCTTAATATAGTGCCCCAAGTTCTATAGTAGTGGTACAAATGAGGTGAATAGCCTAGTCTGCCTTCTAGCAAGTGATTGTCAACAAATCTGTTTATTCCAGAAAAGGTGACTTTAATGAAAGAAAAAGAATTATAAAAAAATAGAATTTATTTTCGGAGATTAGGAGAGGAAGAGCTTTCTCATCAATGGAACCACTTAGAGTAACAGAGCAATCAAACAGATCACTTAGGGCATTTAGAGGTCATTAAGTTTGGCAGAGGAAGAATAATTGATGTACCTGACAAGCAGCCTAAGCTATTTGTGCTGTGCAAGACAGCTTAGACCTTCTGTTAACAGACTAGGGACGTCACTGAAAGATTCTGATCAGTCAACAGCATGAGATTTATAGTTCAGAAATATTACACTGGTAAGTGTTAAGTAGAGGTGGAAAGGAAAGGACTAAATATAGATGATGACTATTAGGCTGCTGCAGTAACATCAGGGAAAGAATGATAGCTTGACAGGGCTTCCCTCCTTGCTCAGGGGATTAAGTCTCAGCACTATGAAGCTATTGCCAGCCACTGCAGTATAAGTTCCATCCCTGGCCAGGGAGCTAACACACATGGCACAGCAGACCTCTTCTTTCTCGCCCCTGCTCCCCTCAGCAGTGTATCTCAGTAGATCTGCCTATTCTGCTCCCTACTCTATCTCTAGTGAATCCTCTCCCCTGCCCCCCACACTCTGGCCTACACCCCAGCTCTTGTATTCATAAATAAATCTTTTTTTTTTTTTTTTAAAGCGATAGCTTGACAAAGGCAGTGGCAGGAAGCATAAAGAAAAAGGAGTAGGGCCTCCCCTAGTAGCGCAGTGGTTGAGCGCTGGGCTGAGAAGCTGCCTGTGGCCTCTGCAGCGCCGGTTCGATCCCCGGCTGCTCCCCGGCCACCAGAGGCGGGTCCCACATGGCGCATAGACCTCTCCTGCTCCCCTGAGCAGTGTACTTCGGTCCTTCTGCCTGTTCTGTTCCCCGCTCTGGCTCTGGTGAATCCTCTCACCCTCCTGTTCTTCTGACTGTACCCAGTGCTTGTATAAATAAATAAATAAATCTTTTTAAAAAAGAAAAAGGAGTAATTGAAAAGACATTTTGAAGTTGAATGACCCATGAGATGAGATGAGTCATGGTAGAGTTGTTAAAGGCATTTGTCAGGAAATATAGGAGAAAAGGGTTGGTGGGGAAGGGGACATTGTAAATATTAATAAGAGATCACCATCTATTTTTTTAACAGGATTATAAAAACAGTGGCATTATAAAACATAACAGTCTTTTAGTTCCTGAGTGTTAGTTAATATTGGCAGCAAACTTCTTGAGTAGGTTTTATGTGACATAATAAAAAATATTGCAGTGTAGTTCCTTTTCACTGTAACATACTCATGCTAATTCTGTTCAAAGGCTAGTTATTCTTTCACATATTAGTTCAATTTTATGAAACCTTCCTGATGCCTCCTTTTCTCCCCCAAGTTGTTAGTCACTTGCAGATTCCTCTGATATGCACTGTATTAAATATTGATATTTAATTATATTTTATTTTCCCAATTAGAGTGGGAAGAACATAAACTTCGGAGTCATGCAGACCCAGGATCTAATCTGCTTTCCATTTACTAGGTTTTGATCTCTAAGTCTGTTTTCCCATTGGTAGATGTAAAATGGTAAAAATTATTTTCATAGTGTTGCTTTTGGATCATTGAACAAAATAACGTTAAGTGCCTTCAGTTGAGTGTGGCACCGGTTATAATTTGCTAAATGTCAGGTACTATTATTTCTAGCTTTTAGCCCTTAAAGATCATTATTTATCTTTGTGTCACCAGTGCTTAAAATGTAGACTGAGCTGTAAAGAGGTGATTGAATATAAATGTTAGTTTAATTAACAATTTTTTATTTTGTTGGATTTTAACAGAACATCTAATTAAAACTGTCTTAGTTTCATATAAAGGCTAACAGTGCTTCTTTACTTTCATGTATTAGGTGTGAACATCAGCCCTTTATTTCCTTCTAATTTTGGAGATTTTCCTCAGAATATTTCTACACCTAATGAACATCAGCAGCCATTAGCCCAGAATCCTTCAGGCAAAACAGAATATATGGCTTTTCCGAAACCATTTGAAAGCAGTTCTTCTATTGGAGCAGAAAAACAAAGGTATTTGACTAAAACATAATCCATTGTTTGCTTAAACACCACTTTTGTGACTATATCTGATTTTATGTACTTTGAAGACATAGGAAGTTTGGTTTGATAGTGTTGGGTATGTGAAACTTTGACATCTTATCAGATGTCTCTCAGGTATATACCTGTTGTGAGCCCTGATTTGTTAGCAGGGTGTCCTCTAAAATCCATTCTGAAAGAATATGACCTGATGTATAGAGTATTTTATGACCTTGATTTGATATCTGTCTTTCAGATTATGCCAATTCATTGATTTAGGATTAGAAATTAAAATTATTAGAGGAGAGTTGTTGTAAAGTGATGACTTCTATAGTTGATTCATTGCCCCTGTATAGAATTGGTTCCTAGCCCTATCCAAATGTAAAGTTGAGTAGTTAGATTATAAAAATTTTAGGCAAGGAAATGTTAGCGATTCATGATCTCAAGTGATAGTCAGGATTTCTTTCTGTTTCTCACATTTGTTATTTTTAATATACTTTTCCCAAATATAATTTTTTACTCAAATAGCTTGAAAGACTTGTTGGATTGGCTCTAAGCATTTTTATAGATAGTGTTTTAAATGACTGTTAAACCAGAAAATGATTGCTAGTGAGCTGGCTGGAAAAAATTATATTTGAGAATATATATATGTGTGTATATTTCAGTGTGTGTGTGTGTAGTCTTATTGTTACCACTATTTACTTAAAAAAAAATTTGATGGATAAAAACTGAAGGTCAAAAGTATATGGTTTTTCTCTCCTAACCCTTTACAGATGTATAATTCACATCTTTTTAGTTATGTGATTGGGCATGTCTCAGGCTCTTGAACTAGCATCAAAACACATAATAATTTAAGTCATGGATCTTTGTTTTGCTTTTTCACTTAACCAAAACATTGTAGAATTCAACTTTGTAGTCACCTCTAGGAATCCAGTGATTAAGCTGCCTGACCTTATTTTAAATCTCTATTAAAGTATCCTGACATGAATGCTTAGTGTACAGTTTCCATTCAGAAATGATTGTTCCATGAATCTCTATCATAAGCAATAAGCATTTATCAAAGTATAATGTAGGCTTTCCTACTGGAATAGCCCCTGCTTCATTATTACATATTTTGTGTATAATTGATAGTAAAAAAGGATGGATGTATATCTAATATTATTTTAGATGATTTGATCTGCTTCAGATCGGACCTTCTCTCCTCCCCAAATCTCAGCTACTAGGAGTTTCCTGAATTAAATGACTAGAGATAATAAGAGGTCAGATGAATTGTTTTGGTCATGAGCCAGGGTTAGAAAACTTTCGCTGTAAATAGCTAGATAGTAAATAATGCAGGTTACACAGTGTCATAACCATTCACCTTTGCCATTCACTTCTTTTTTCCACCATCCACCTTTGCCATTCATTTTTGCACAAGAGCAGACATAATATTTCAACAAATATGAATGGCATTGTTCCAATAAAGCTGAATAAGCACTGAAACTTGGATTTCTTACAATTTTCATGTGTTACAAACTTAATTGTTTTTCAGCTATTTAAGAATAAAAAAAGCATTCTTAGCTCTCACGCCATATGAAAATAAGTAGCAGGCTGAAATTGGCCTGTGAATTGTAGATTTGTTAACCTGTGTCATGAGTTAAATCCTGAAGGTCAGTACATCCTAAATTATATTTTTAGGAATACTGCTGTCCTTGTCATTCTTGCTCACTTTGTTCCTATGGTATATTAAAAGTTCTGAGAAATCCTGTCAACCTGTTTAACTTTGTTTTGCCTATTTTTCCCCAAACTTTGATGACCAGTGAATAGCATATTAATGTATTAAGCAATGCCAATGTTCAGCAGATAAAATTTGAAAACTGGAACTAGACCAACAGAATGAATTTAGATAATATGAGGAGAAATTATTAGATGCATGGCCATTTGTGTTTATTAAATTCTGGTTCTGTTGGAACTTCTTTAGGTAACACAGATCTGTATATGTTCTCAAATCCTCTACTATAGCTCTTTCTCAGCTATTCCTTCAAGTCTTTTGTTTCTTCCTTTTATGTCCTATTTTCCTTAATTTTTCTTTCCTATGCTTTCTTTCATGAATGCTAAATCTTTGGTTTGGAACTTTGCCAGTAAAAATGATCTAGTAAGAAAGCTCCAAAACAAAATTTTAAAGTAATTTAATGCACTAGTCTATATAATATTTACAGATCTAATGGATTTTTTTTTTTTTTTTTTTTGGAAAATATACCCTGTTGATTTTATTTACCTAAATCTAGAAACTATAAATTATTTAGATCTGGAGTTTTCAGTAAATACAGAAATTTCTCACTGTAATTTGTAAAACTAATTTTCATTGGTAAGGAATCAAAAACAGCCTGAAGAGGAGATGGAAAACAGTAGGACACCATGGTTATATGACCAAGAAGGTGAAGTAGAAAAGCCATTTATCAAGCCTGGATTTGCAGTGTCTGTAGAGAAACCTACTAATAGTAGTCGCAAAAATCAACTAGACACCAGTAGAAGAAGACGCCAGTTTGATGAAGAGTCATTAGAAAGCTTTAGCAGTATGCCTGATCCAGTAGATCCAACAACAGTAACTAAAACATTCAAGACAAGGAAAGCATCTGCACAGGCAAGTGTGGGATCTAAAGATAAAACTCCCAAGTCAAAGAGTAAGAAGAGACATTCTACTCAATTGAAAAGCAGAATTAAAAATATTGGTAAGTATGGAAATTTGTTGACTATTGAGCCATGTAAATGTTGGTAACCTTAGACCAGCATATTGACGTAGTAAATATCTTTGTGACTAGATGGGTAGGTACTATTCTTCACCTACTTTAATAGTCATTTTTAGTAATTTTACAAAATTTATCAAATACAATTATTTTAAAATACAGCATTTCTTTTTTCCCTGCTTACTAAATTTCTTATATTTCCTATATACATGACTACTGCTATTTGGAAAACTCAGATATTTTCCAAATCGTGTACATTACTTTAAAACAATATGCCCGAGTTTTACTATTCCCTTTAATTTTTACATCTATAACTTTTGTCATCTAGAATTTAATTAGATCTTTGATTGATTCATTTAAAGAAATGTGGACCTTTAATAACCACTTTGCAGTGTTTGAATATAATATAAAGCCACTTTTAGCCCTTTGGAAACAGAATCCTAAAAAGGTTAAAAATACATATATACATTTTATTGAATCTTGCCATTAAGTATCATTATAACAAAGTTCTCATTTTAGTGTTACCTACATGCCACTTAAAAAAAAAAAGATTTTCTTTGATTTTTCGAAGGATTTACTGAAATCTAGCAGTTAGTTAAAAATACTACACCAATTGCAGTCTCTAATATTAATATTACTGAAGGTTGTTCCTTCAAATTTGCAAGAAATACTTTCTGGCTGTGGCTTTAAGAGTTATTCTGTGTTCAATGAGAATATTTGGTGCTTAAGAATGAACTTTTAGACCTATATTAAGAAAAGTTTGAAAAATCAGTGATCATTACTATTTCTTAGAATTTAACAATACGTTAAAGTATATTAAAGGTCCTGGGAAATCCTGTAGTAAAAAATCTACCTGTAAACTTTGGCGGCATTTTGGGGTAATGAAACACTTGAAAAATCTGATGAAAAGCAGGCTATAAAAAAAATAAATATACTTCCTTTTTCATTTTAGTACTTCTTGTTATCCTTGGCTCCTGCCTCTACCCCTTTGTGTAGAATCTGATTTGATGGCTAAGTAAGCACATTTCAAGAGGGGTTACATTTTTCTCATCATACACATAATCTTCCTTGAGATCATTTTCCAGTGTGGAAGGAGCATGAAAGTACAGCTACTGCTTTCTCCAATAAAAATAATCTCTGGTGGCACTAAGAGAAGTGACTTAAGTAGATAATAATTGTTATTTTTAAGAGAGCCTTTGGATTACTTACTGTACATTTAATTCCATGATACTTTGTATTCCACAAAAGACATTTTTGTCATATGAATATGTGAAGAAAAACTTATCACAATATTCTCTCATTTAGCTGATTTGAGTGGGCAATACTTAAACATTTTTTGTACAAAGAATCTTGGGAACTTGCTTAAGGGCAAACTGTGATTCATTCTGTGGAGGGCATACACACAAAACAAAAAGACTTGATAGCCAAATCAAGTTAATGAATAGAGTGTAACGTACTAACATGGCAAAATCAAACAAGTCATCTAAATCCTTGCTATCCAAATGTGAACCTATGGACAAACAGAATCAGCATCTTCTGGGAACTTGCTAGAAATGCAAACTACCTTATGCCAGCTGCATAGAGTATGCACTGTTTTTCAGTGTGTATTTTAGCGAGATTCCAGTTGTTTTAATATGTTAGGCACACTAAAGTCTGAGAAGCTCTGAGCTAGAGCTTCTCTAGCTTCTCTAGCTGTCAATTTCTCTAGCCACAATTTCTTCGGGAAAAGAATGTCTTAAAGGAAGTGGTAAAGGAAGTGGAGGAAGACAAGATTGGAAAGCCTTCCAAATTTTCAATAAGAAAAGTATAGAGTCAGGACAAAAATAAAAAGATGAGAGGAAATGGGGAGGGAAGGTTATGGCAAATAGACCAGCATAGTTTTAGTTAAGGTGCTGTCCTGAGAGAGAAAGTATAAGCAGTTACACTGTCCCAGATTTAACTAGAGTTATTTCTTCACACATGTTTTTTGCATATGTAGACAGTCTTTTAGAAATAACATGGAAAATCTTCATTTAACTTAAGTTCACATGATGGTAATATATTTTAATCTTTAGGTCTTTATATATAAAAGTACATATTTTTGTGAAGTAAAATTTTACAAAGTACATGATAATCATCTTTTAAATTTTCAAAATTAGATCTTACTAGTTGAGCATGATTGCTTACCTTCTTGGGTTTTTCAATTATCAGATGTATGATTTGGTTATCATAACCAAATAATTTGGCTCTACTCTACCAGACTCATTTTCTATTTTGAATTAGGGTCATGTAGTTTAGATTTCATTACTCTTTTCTTGGAAAATGGTATAAAACTATCAGTGTACTGGGTTCTAATTGTCCCTGCCTGAATCTTTTCATATTTTTTCCTCCTGCCCTTCCTGTTGCTCACTAATGAAAATTGAGATGAAATGGGTATCAAGCATTGGGTCAAGCAAGGCCTAAGAGATGTGGCCAGTAAAGGAATATCCTTTTTAGATGCAGAGTGCTTATTACTTAAATAGGCAAAGAAAAGAAGAATAGCCAAATGTGCCCGCTTTCTTTGTTCCCATATGCCACTAGAGTAACGCTAAAAGGGGCCAGATGACAATTGGAAGAGTGCTGCTGAGGGGTCAGTGCTGTACTGCAGCTAAGCCACTTTACAATATGGCGATGTGTCCTCAGTAGGTGAGACAGAAAGGTCTCCTGTTTAGTCAGAACCTGGGAGGAGATGTGAAACTCTCATATGCAAAAGGGAGTTAAGTGAGAAATGGCCACATAGCAGCTCCTCACTAGCCTCCTGTGTTTCAATGCCCTGTGTCCCAGGAGAACCATACAGCCTTCTGCCATGACTTAGATTGACAATGCAGTTTAGTCTTTACCTAGCTGGCCTATGTGGATATGTGCAACGTCTCCAGGATGCCATGACTGAACTGTTTCCCTACAATACATACAACAACTGGATGTACTGACAAAGCCGAAAGTGCTAGTTCTTCTAGCTGTACCTCATACTAAGAAAACAGAATGGGAGTGAGGGAATAATAATAATGAAATGATATTGTTGCTATTGTTATTCTAGCTGGCCTACCCAGTGTTAAAGTATTAACTATCACTGATTCTCCTACTCTCCCTTGGGTTTTAATATTAGTGTCCAAGATTAAACACACACACACACACACACACACACATATTCTTGGACTATGGAAATCTTGCCCTTAATGTTTCTGATTTGAAACTTATTAAAACCAGGTTTTTAAAAATTAATTATAGCATGCTTCTCTGCATAGTTTCAGCTGTTTTGGAAAGTGATTTCTTTTGAATATGGGACTTTTTAAAAGAGAATTGGGGTTTCTCAAAGAAAATTTTGTGTATGCTAATATATTTTAATTTTGAAAAGAATATATTTATATTTCACATGATTCAGTAATAGTTAGAAGCTTAATAGTCAGAAGCTTATATAAATGTTCTTGTTAGAATAATATGCTGTAAGTTTTCGATTCTACCATTCTTTTTACATATTACATCATATCCTTTATTGCTGGGCCTGTTTTGTATTAAGGTCAAAAATAACCACAAGGACTCTTTCTCCAGTAAGTTTTATGCAGAATGGATGAGAGTGACTAGACTTTAGTTTTAGAGACTGTGACGTAACATGAAAATAAGATAACGAAGTCCTTAATAATGGCCTTAAATAAAGAGAAGGTTGAATCCAGGTAAGATATCAAGTAGAAGTTGACAGTATATAATGGCACCTTACTTGTTACTAACAGAGCAACTATTGTAATCTGAAGGGTGTCGAGCTGAAAAGCATTAGGTTCTGCTGGCCCTTTTCAGATTGTCTAGACAAAGATCAGAAATCTACGGTTCCTGGGGAAATTTTGATTGGAGGAGATCCATGTTGTCTCTCCTGTTCTTGGCACCTTCCTCCTTGAGAGTCGGGTGTCAGTCTTTTTGCCATTTCAGGGTATTAATGGGCAGGAGTATCACTGAGAAGGTAGGTGGTATCCTCTGTACTCTGAACCTGAGAGAGCGTTTCTTTATAGCTGAGGAGACTAAGTAGAGCAGCTCTTCTTTTTGTATCTATGAGGGGAGACTGGCAACTTGCTGTCCAGAACATTGCTTGACCTTAGAAGCAAGGCTGCCAAGCAGCAGGCCACCATGAAATACACCCAGCTGTTAGGTCCAGCCATAAGGGTGTAAGTTGTGACTAGGCCAGTGAATATAGCATGTATATAAAAGGGCCCCTGCAGCAAGAGAGAAGACATAAAAGACTACTAGAAAAGGTGAAATCCAGTAAAAACAGGATTACTGAAAGAAATATACACATGAATAAAATGACAGGAGCCACCTGAGCAGATTAAATAACAAATTCTCTAGAACTAGGAAAGATTAATTTCACATTTAATGTTTAGATCATTTGAAAAAAAGATGAATGCTATAAAGTCTTAACCTATAATCTAGAAAATCAAGGGGAATAATTATGACACAGAGCAAAAGGTAATAACATATATAATCATAAAATTAGAGGCTTAAGGACAAACTTCGGATCTGATACTTAAAGGAGAAAAAAACCAGGTGGAGGTGCAATAGTTAATTAAAAAAGAAGAATCTTGAATAAAGAAATTCTGAAGACCGCAGATTAAAACAGCTGACTGTTGTCCAGCCAGGAGGCAAGGGGAAGCACATACATACCTTAGTGTGTATACTGATAAAATTCCTGAATTCCAAGGGAGAAGTAAAAATCTATAAATTTCCAGACTGAAAGAACAAGATACACACAATGAAAAATAACCATACTGACTTCTGAGAATCTCACAACACAGAAGTAGAAGTAAAATAATCCATATCTGGACAAAAAAGGACTGCAACTCTAGAGTACTATACTCAGATGAGACCTGCACTCGTCAAGATAAAAAGAAGATACTGGTTTATCTAATTTGAGGGAACTACAGGAACACATATCAAGTGTTCATACGAGAGGTTCAGTAAAGAAAACAGCTCAATCTCAGTTATTAATATAAATTCAAAGTCAAATGGTTAATTTTATCTGCAAATATATCTGAAGATTATTTTGTTGTCAATAGGGTTTATTATAGAAATTCATCATTGTAAGGCACTCTTGTTAACATAATTTATTATATCAACAAATTGAAGGATAAAAGTCATGATAGCAGTGTATCAGATAAAATCTAAAGTAATTCCTAATGAAAATTCTAAAATTCACACAAAGCAGTTACATAAATACACAAGGTATTAACTAATGCCAATCATAAATACCATTGTAAATGAAAATACTCCAAAAATATTTCTGTTGAAATTAAGAATTAAACAGGGATTTCTTTTCCAACCGTCTTTATTTAGTATTGTTTGGAAAGCATTGTGAAGAGAAATTAAGTAATTGGAATAAAACTGGAAAAGGAGGGAAACAAATTTTGTACATTTTTTTCTGTAAAAGAGCCCAAGAAATTAAATATTAAAACTATCAAAAATAAAGTTATCTGTTTATGACATAAGTGTGCAGATATTTCTCTAGTATAGTAATATCTAGAAGAAATGGGAGTGGGAAGAAATTCAAAGCTATTGGAGTGGGGGGAGCTTTAGAAATAAATTCTAACAAAGTATATCTATAAAAATCAATAGTGTATTCTTAAAAACATGAAAGAAGATGGAACAAGTATAAAAACAACCATGGTCTGGGCCTCCCCTGGTGGCGCAGCGGTTGAGCACTGGGCTGCGAGGCTGCCCGCAGCCTCTGCAGCTCCGGTTCGTTCCCTGGCCGCCGGCGAGGGTCCCACAAAAAAAAAAAAAAAAAAAAAAAAAAAATGTTCTCAGATTAGGATCTATAAATCAGATACTCTCAAATATTTTTAACATAATTTCATTTTGAATACCCAGAACTATTTCTGTAACTGATAGGGCTGGCTGGGAGGGGCCAATAAGAATTCCAAGGCTTATGTAGAATGACAAATGTTCGAGAAAAGCCAAGAAAAGTGAAGCTAGGCGGGACTTGCCTTATCAGATTTTTAAACATACTGTAAAACTTCTGTGCCTAATAGAATGAAAGAGGCATTGGACATTATAGTAGATCAGTTAAACAATGCCCAGAAATAAAACTCGATAAGGTGGTTTAATGTAAGGTTGCATTTTTAACTCAGTGGGAAAATGGTAGGTTTAACTAATTCATATGGAATAAAGTTTAATTACTACCCTTCCATATACCAAAATAAATATTAAAAAAAGAACATTTAGTAGATTATATGTATACCTATGGGTGGTATTTTTAAACCAATTCATATTACACAAAAGCTACAATAAAAAGGCAGACATTTGACTAATGTCCATACTATTATCTCTGTCATGGATATTTTATATAGATTGGAAAATTCTTCCTTGTATTTCCAATACTGAAAAATTACTACCTTGCAGTCTAGTGCAGAATTTAAGTCAATAATAGTTTGAGTTGGGATGATATCATTAAGATGGCTACCAAAGGAAAATGAAGTGTATTAGGCTTTATTACTGTTTCACCCCATGCTTTCCAAACATATGTCCAAGACATATTAAACTGTTTTATATTCTATTTATATTAGGCCTTCACAGCATTCTAAATCGAGTTATCTGAACTTTTTCACTGTGGAAATCAATTTCCCTTTCAATTTAAATTAGTCGCAACTGATAACAGTTGTTACTTTTTTCACTCAAGGGTATGAAAGTGCCAGTATGTCTAGCACATGTGAACCTTGCAAAAATAGGAACAGACATTCAGCCCAGACTGAAGAGCCTGTTCAAGCAAAAGTATTCAGCAGAAAGAATCATGAGCAGCTGGAAAAAATAATAAAATATAATAGGTCTACAGAAATATCTTCAGGTATGTTCTTTTTTTGGTTTGCTTTAAAGACTTCGCCTTAGGTTTTGAAAAGCTCCACATTAAAGCAAATTTTAAAATTGGTCTTTCATCTTCTGTCATGTGCAAGATTTTATAGTAGCTATACAGTACACATTCCTTATTTCAGAAAATGTAAACTGAAAATATTTTGTGTTAGTATGATACTAGCTTTTGACACATTTTGATAAAATTCTAAACAAAAAAGTATAGTTGAGGGGTCTCCCTGATGGCACAGGGATTAAAGTCTCAGCACTATCAAGCTACTGCTGGCCACTGTGACAAGAGTTCGATCCCCGGCCAGGGAGCTGACCCATATGGCACAGCAGACCTCCTGTCTCGCCCGCTGCCCCTCAGCATTGTATTTCCGTAGATCTGCCCGTTCTGTTCCCCACTCTGTCTCTGGTGAATCCTCTCACCCCCTGCACCTCTGGTCTATACCCCAGTTCTTATATGCATAAATAAAATAAATCTTAAAATATATATATATTTATTTATTTATAGTTGACAGTTTGGAATTCCTAGTTTGAAAATCTTACTGGATAAGAATTAGGTATAAAATTATAATACCCTGCTGTAAACCTTGGCTTCACTGTGCCTTTAAGTTTAAATGTGATAATGTAACACATATGGCCAGCAGATACTTGGTTTTTTCCTGCCTCTCCAGACTCATTTCTCACCACCCTCTAACTTGAACCATGGTGCTGACATTTCCCTATAGCTATTATGCTATTTCTCATCTCAGCGGTTATCTTTTCTGCTTCATGCTTTTTGCTCTTAGTGCCCTTTCTCTGCTGGACTCCTATCTTTATTCAGCACTCTAAAATTGCATCCAAATCCAAGCCAGACCATGTTTAACTTTTTTCCTTTTTGTTTCTATTGTAGCCTGTGTAAACCACTTTGTTGGCTGTATCACATTAGTGTTTGCCTGTTTAACTGTATGTCATCCTTTTGAGTCCCTTGGCAGCAGCTAATACCTTTCATATTTGATCTTAAATATTAGCACAATACCCTGACATATGGCAGACACTTAGTGTTTATTGAATGGAGTCATATTTATTTGCTACAATTTTCGTTTAAATAAGTACTAGTACTTTACTGATTTATAAAGAATAAGTATATCTCACACAAATACAAGAGACAGTAAATAGAGACTCAATTCTCAGTTACCAGTAAGCTATCAATGAACGTAGTACACCCACCATTTGTATCATGTTCTATATGTTTACAAATAACACCTTATTCGAGCCTCATAATTCTCTGAAGTGGTTTTATTTCCATTTTGCAGATGAAGAAACATCAGAGGAGGTACCTATTTTTTTTCCCAACACTCAAATAGCTAGAATACAAAATGGCACAATTTTCCTTAATTTTTCAAAAATTGAGCCCTCAACCCAGTAATTTACATTTGTAGACATTTAAATTTTGGAAACACAAAGGAGGGAATCAGAATTTAGTGTTACCTGAATGGTATAACTCCAACTATGTTTAAATAAAAAACAATGAAAACTGGAAGAAAATGCATCATATACCTTTAAACACTTTATAATGAGTACTGATTATAACAAAAGCATGTATTTTGAAATAACTTCCTCAAGGTTTTATTGCTAGGAAATGGGAGATCTGAAGATTTAATCCTGGTCTTATATTACATTTAGGATCTTTTTGGCAAAAATAATTACTGTCTTGATTCTGACATTTTCCCCAAGTTTATAATATTAATCTCTTTCCACTATCTTTAACGAATAGTGCTATCTTTAATGAGTAAAAAAATGAGGGCGAGAACGAAATTGAAAAACTTAGTAAATTTGGATCAGTTACCTAAATAATAGCAAGTTGGACATATTAGACCTTAATGTCACTTAAAAAAATGTAATCATATTGATTTTGTTTGGTAAATTAAAAAATGTTTGAACAGTGTAAGTATACATTTGTGTGTATATAATTATCACTTTCAAAAAAGGGCTTAGTTTTAGCTATTACCCTAAAATTCATTATAGCATGTAAGTTTCATTATGTTATTGAAGCATAACATATGTGACTACTAGTTTTGAGTTCTACAGTCCTCTTCTCCCTTGGGAGCTGTGGGAGGTTCACCTACTTGTGTAAGCTTTTAAGAGTGAGCAGTTAAGTAGTTTATTATGATAGTCATCATCAGTCACATTAATGTAAATTTATAGCAAATCTTTCAAGATTTTCCCTGATGAGATTATTTTTTAATAGAGCATAAGCCATACATTGTGATGTAATTTTTAGTTCAGGCAAGCAATTTTAAAGAAATTTGTTTATTTCTTAATATTCATTCACTTATTCACATTTTAGACCCTGTCTTTACTATTCATCTACATTTTATGTTCATCCTTATGTCTGCCCTTTCCTACAGCACATGCTAGGAGAATACTACAGCAATCTAACAGAAATGCATGCAATGAAGCGCCAGGTAACAATCTGCTTAGTTTTGGTGCCATTTTTATATTAGAATTTTTCCATTAGTCCTAAAAATCCTTAGATTTACTTTGCTTTGATTATTTTTTTTAGCTTAGTGTACAGATAATATATATACTGTTTGATTACTATAAAAGGTGAAGAGTTCATAATCAAATTTCTGGACCCTTTCATTTGTAATTTTTGGTTGATAAAATTGGCTGATTTGGGGGGTTTTATTTCCTGTTAGTGCAAGTAATCAACACATGCAAATGGGTAAGAGAAAACCTTTTTATTATTTAGTTTTTTATTGATTGATTTTATGTTTCTTAAATGCTTAAAAACATTAATTTTTTTTTTGGAAACAGTTATTTTTAGTCCTAGCTCTGATTTACAGTATTAAGTATTACATGACTTGTGTTATATTGCTCATTTTTTTTTTTTTTTTTTTTTTTTTAAATTTTTAATTTTTTTTGTGGGACCTTCGCCGGCAGCCGGGGAACGAACCAGCGCTGCAGAGGCTGCAGGCAGCCTTACAACCCAGCGCTCAACCGCTGCGCCACCAGGGGAGGCCCCTATATTGCTCATTTTTTGTTACCAGTCAACATCTATAAGAAAAAGCATGTAAAGATCATTATAAAGAAAGGTCACGGAAAACTACAATTTGTTAGAGAATTCAAAATTATTTTTTTACACTATGTATTTTCATTAAATATGATTCTGTGTGATTTAGAATTATAAATGTTCTTTAATGCCTCCTGCAGCTGTACATGAGTGAACAATAAAAACCTGTGTGAACATTTAGGAGACCTAAGGGGAAAGAAAACAAGGACCTAGCATTGACAAAACTCAATAATCAGTGGCCCTTCTAAAGAAAGACCTCTGAAAATTAAAAACAGGATAGAATAAAGAAAGCGTGACTAAGCCCAAGGATTTTTCTAGCCTTAGCTAGGATCAAGAGGCAAAAATTTCTGCTACTTTTTTTTGCAGGAAGGTGGACTGAAGCATGTGTTTGGTGTAATTCATAATTTGGGAATAATTAATGATATATAATTTAGAGTGATAATTTTATCACATGTAGAAGTATTAACAGTGTTAATAAATATATTTTTAATCTTTGAAATAAACATTTTCTAAATCAAATAATTATGCGCAAACTACAATATTGTATATAAATTGAAAGTTTACGTATCAAATAATATCTGGAGTTTTCCTATAAGTAGAGATGTGGTTCCTGCTTATAATATTAATTATGTAGTAATATATTGCATTTGAACAATTTAAAACTACTAAGAGAACTTTAACATAGCATTTCATTTTATGCACAGATGTCTGAGGCAAGACAGGGAGGTTGTAGATTCATTGTCTTTATTATGAAAATTGAGACCAAGAGATGTTAACTATATAGTTTAGCATATTACTGGAAAGTTTTCTCATTAGACTACATTTGCTTTGCATTTTCTTATGCCTCTTTTGCAAATAGTGAATTAAATTTTTGTTTTTGCATCTTTATTTGAAAATGCAATATATTAAAATATTCAACAGTTTACCTTCCCTTTCTTAGAAACTTATCACTTATTTTTGTGGAATGTGAATATTTAGCTACATGTGGTTCTGTTACTCTAGAAAGTTTAACAGAATTTGATGGCTAGGTGAGCCACCTTTTAAAAGAGAAGAAAAAGAGGTTTTTTCCATTAAACAAATCAGTATGGGAATAGTTTCTAACTTTTAGAAATAAAGGTATGACTCTCTGCCTTTAAGGGTGATGCTAGTATGTTATCAACAAATGCATATAGCAGAACTATTACTAAATTATAAAGTGCTGCCTAGATTCTGTGCAACTGGAAATTTCTGTTGGGTCACTGCCTGCTCCAATGTATACCATGTCAATAAGACAACAGTAAAATTGACTTATAGTATTATAGTTACATACTCAGTTTTTCATCAAAGCATGAGACCTGAGAAAATTAGTAGACCTGACTTGATAGGCCTTAAAATATTAGTCTCACTGACAGCATTGAGTTTGTTCTCACCATTAACATATTTCCTTTTCTGCAATGAAGTTCATATTACCAAAAAAAGAAAATTATATACATTTAACTTATTTCATTCAACTGCTAAGAAATTCTACTGATTATATCTATGAAATGTGTAAAATTTTCTACAAATTTTTCATTGTGAAATAAGTGTTGTCTAAATAATGCTAAATAATGTTATTTGTACACACAGATATTTCTCCAGTATACAATATATCTTGATATTTGTAAGATTTTCTTTTTATAATGATAATCTTAAGATTCTTTGTATTTTAAAAGTCCTGAAATTAAGTATGTTCTGATTTCTAAGTAATTTAAAGCTAAGAGTAATGATACAAGGCAATAGAAATTATCAAGAAGGTATTTCACTAATATTAACTTCCTGCTCTTTTGTATCTTCCAGAAACTGGGAGTGATTTTTCCATGTTTGAAGCTTTGCGGGATACTATTTATTCTGAAGTCGCTACGCTAATTTCTCAAAATGAATCTCGTCCACATTTTCTTATTGAACTCTTCCACGAGCTTCAGCTACTTAATACAGACTACTTAAGACAGAGGGCTTTATATGCATTGCAGGTATCTGGTACCTTAACATTTTTTCCTAATCTATCTGGTATCTCCTTTCTTCACGATTTTATCTACTTCTTTCTTAGACTGAAGTATGTCCTGATTCCATATGTATTTTGATTTGTTTTCTGTGTACTTTCTTGCCATTTTATTTAAAACTTTTCAGAAGTTAAGTAGCTTCTAGATGAAGTCTTTCTGAGCAATTTTTTTTAGTTTTATCTTTGATGTTATTTCTTCCTCACAGTTAAGCTGTTTCTGCTTTTAAACTTGTAACTAAACATACATGTTTTATGTCAATAAATCTTTTACTTCCTTATTTAGGACATCGTATCCAGACATATTTCTGAGAACCATGAAAAAGAAGGGGATAATGTAAAGTCGGTGAATTCTGGTACATGGATAGCATCAAACTCAGAACTTACTCCTAGTGAAAGCCTTGCTACTACTGATGATGTAAGCTAATAATGATTAGTGAGATGTAGATATAATTTCAAAATGCAGTAAATGAAAGTTAGAGGTTATTGTTAGTTGCTGCAAGTATGTCAGATATATTTGGGTTTTAGCTTTTTTAAAAACTGGAGATTGTTAAATTAGTTTGAGATGAGTTATAAAAATCAATAAAAATATGGCAGCAAACATCAAAAATTATGTATAAATGAAGGATTATAAGGTCTAAAATAACCATATTTATATCTCCACTGACAACATAGAAACTGACTTACAGCAGACATTTAAGTAAAATTTGTTACGTCTTTTAAAGACATTTAGTATACCAGGCAGCAGTCACATCATAATAAGAAACCTTAAATAAGTAAAGGCGAAATAAATCAAGTTTTTGGGATAAAAAGGAATCCTATAAAGAAAAAGTATGTATATATTCAAATTGATAAAGAAAATTTTAAATAGAGTAAAAATGTCCTGGAAATGGGAAAGGTGATTTGCCAGGGATTTGAAAATCACAAGTTTAAAGGTTAAGACACCTGATTCTATTGTAAAAGATTCTGTGTGGTCCTGGGATATCAAATACATTATTTTTTATGCTAACTCTAGCACCTGGCTGTCCATTGAGAAAAGTTCCATAATTGATTAGCAAATATCTGCTATAGGTAGTGAATTGGGAGTCTTACACTGTGTTTCTACTCGTTAATGATAAATGTTAACTTTATAAGTTTCTTCCTGAAGTGATAGTATTGATAGTATTTTCTCAAAAAATTGTCTCTTCTGATAACTGTTGAACACTTTTTCTGAAGTTTTTTTTCCAACTTATATTCATGTTTAAAATAATAATTCCCAAGTCATCTTTTTTGTTTAAAATCTTTCTTTATCAGACTCCAATACCTATAGTATCATGAGCATAAAAACAACATGGTTTAATTGACTTTACAATATCAAACATAGATTAAGTGATCAGTACTTGGAATTAGTTATTATAACTAATTGAAAAATATGTATTCCTTTTTATGGGAAATGTAATGTGGTCCAACTGTATACATAAAAAAATAGAAGATTAGGCTACATGAAAGTTTATTAGGCATTGAAATAATGAGAATGATAAGTATCTGTTCTTTAACCCCTACAAACCAGGGACACCCCTTTTTTTAGTGATTTTTTTATCCTTAACTCTAGTACCTTCCTTTTTCTCTGAGTTACATAGAGGTTGCACTACTTAATTATGTTAAAAGGTTTTTTATTGATTTATATCATCAATATAGAAAATTTTGCTACAATTTAGGATTATGTTAATCCTACAGTGTTTTAGAGTTAATAAAATTCTGTACCGCTTAATGAGTAGGTTTCTTAACTCAAACTGATTCAACAAAATACTGTAGAGTAAGTGGCTTAAACAACATTTATTTCTCACAGTTCTGAATACTCAAAAGTCTAGTACATGGTGCTAACAGGTTCAGTTTTTTGTGAGGGACCTCTCCATGACCCACAGATGTCCACCCTTTCCCATATCTTCACATGGCAATAGAAAGCTGCTTTGATGTCTTTTCCTCTTATAAGGGCAGTAATGTCATCAGAGAGGCTCTACTGCATGACTTCATCTAAACCTGATTACCTCCCAAAGGCTCCACCTCCTAATATCACATCAGGGTTAACATATGACTTTTAGGGCCTCCCTTGGTGGCGCAGTGGTTGAGCGCTGGGCTGTGAGGCTGCCTACAGCCTCTGCAATGCCGGTTCGTTTCCCGGCTGCCAGCAAGGGTCCCACAAAAAAAAAAGAACAAAAAAAAAAAAAACCAAAAAAAATATGAATTTTAGGGAAACACAAATATTCAATCCATAATGGTAGGGACTTGACATAATTCTTTTTAGTATTGCTATTCAATATTGAAATCAGTTCTTTAATAATTCATCTAAAATTTAAATTCAGCATTAATGTCAACATCTTCCCTTTAAATGCCATTTAATCAGCAGCTGCAGCAGTTCAACATCCATTGTTCCTACCTATGGATCTAGAGCAGTGCTATCCAGTAGGACTTTATACAGTGATGGAAGTGTATCTGCACTGTGTAATAGAGTTGTCATTAGTTACTTGAAATGTGACTAGTGTGATTGAAGAACTAAATTTTGAATTTTATTTAAGTAGCCACATAGGTACTGTATTTGGCAGGTAAAGAGTTTCATTCTCCATGTTTCTGTGCTGAAGTCCTTTGAGCTCCATTTATGGAGCTTTTACATACTTGTTTCAGTGTGTGAAAAAGAGTTAAGGAAGTTAAGGGACGTGAGAAATTCAAATTTAAGATGAAGAAAAAACACTACCTTATCTTCTCTGGGTGCTATTAAATTGCAAATACACATGTAATTTTAAGTCTTGAAAGAGCAACAAAATAGTTCCATTCCCTACAATGCATTCCCTACTGCCTAAATTTCCCATTTATCATGATTTAAGCCAAAAATTTTTAAAAGTCAGTAGCCAAGGAGAAAGAACATAATTATGGAGTAGCAATCAGAATATGAGACTTTCACAAATCATGCTATGTATAACAATTAACTGGAAAATAGTCTTGAAATGCTGAAACTATAAAATTTCTAAATACAGAAAAAATTCTTCATGACTTTAATGTAGACAAAGATTTCTTAGGACATAGAAAGCACTAACTATAAACTTTGCAAATGATTAGTTGATTGGAAATAAAGTCCTGCTTTTCAGAAGATACTATTAGAAAAAATAATCACAGTACATAAACCTAACAAGTGACTATATGTAACTGACAGATCCAGACTACATACAGAACTTTTACAACTCAATTTTAAGACAAGCAAAAAAATGAGCAAGAGATTTGAATAGGGGCTTCGCCCATAAAAGATACATGAATGGCCAATGTGCAAATCAAACCATACAGTACCACCTCACACCAACTAGAATAGCTAAAATTAAGAAGACTGACAATAAGGAATGTTGGTGTAAAATGGAGCAAATGAAACTCTCCACTGTGTATAAAATTGTACAGGCATTGTACAATTGTAAACCATTTTGCAAAATTTTGGAAAGCAGTTTGCTAGTTTCTTAAAAGTCAAACAAAAACTTTGCAGGTTACCCAGAAATTTCTCTCTTCTAGGTATTCATCCAGAGGGAATGAAAACATGTCCACCAAAATACTTGTATACTAAATAGTCATAGTGTCTTTAGTCATGATAACCTTAAATGCAAACAACAATAGATAGATAAATGTGGTTCATCTATACAGTGGATTGCTGTTCAGTCACTAAAAAATAGTGAATGTCTGAAACACAAAATGGATTAGTTTCAGAAATACACTGAACAAAAATCAGATGCTGGTTACATTTACATGAAGTTCTAGAATTAGAAAAACTATAATCTGCTGATAGAAGTTATGCAAGCAAGGTGTAGTAAAGAGTGACTGCAGAGGTTTGTATAAGAACTTTTTGGGCTCATGGATATGGTCTTTAGGGAAGGCAGTTAACATGGATGTATATATTTTTCAAAACACATCAAATTGTATACTTAATGGGTGCATTTTGTGTAAATTGTATTTCAATAAAGTTGATTTTCTTTTTAAGTATGAATGATGCTGTCATGTTTTTCTTCTGTATATCAAGTACTAGTTTTGTTAGGATTTGGAAATAGAATTTCCCAGAGGTTATAGAAATAACTAAAAATATTAACTTTTCACAGATTTAATCAGCTGGTTGTTTATCTACATAATAACAGGTTACTTAGTATTTAAATGTTCTTTGTGATTCTGGTTAGTAATTGGTTATTATCACAGTCCTGTTGGAGTAGAATACTCATATAACTTACAAGTATTACATCTTCATGTATAGTTATATGGAAAAACTTAGTTTTTTTGTTAAATTTTTAATATTAATCACAGTTTTAAAAGATAGTGATTTTTGTTTGTTTTTAAACTATAACTTAGGAAACTTTTGAGAAGAACTTTGAAAGAGAAACACATAAAATAAGTGATCAAAATGATGCTGATAATGCTAGTGTCATGTCTGTGTCTTCAAATTTTGAGCCTTTTGCAACAGATGATCTAGGTAAGAGGAATTTTTAATAATTTTAGAACACAACTTTCCTAACGTCTTTGAATTGCATTGATAAGGAAATAAAACTGGAAAGGCAAGATGTTAATGGGTCTTACCCATCAATATAAATTAAATAATCTCTTTTCTAACTTTTAGTTAAAACTCTTTGATACTGGGGAAATCATCTATCCTTCCTGACTGCATATTCTAAGGACATGAGGGATCTTATCCACCTTGCTGTGTTCTTGTGAAAAATATGTAGAACTTTGTAGCACAGGAGTTCAAAAAATGTTAATTTCCTTTCCCTTAAATGAAAGTCATCTTTTAAGATCTTCCAGTTAATGAGAAACATTGAGGTATCAATGCCTCCCGTGACATTTTCATTGACAATATTAATTTCATAATTTGAGGTAAAACTGAAAATTAGCATAAATAATCTTTAGTTGTTAACCCAGGTAAGCGTATAGCCTGGCACATTGGAGTTTTTTCATTGGTTTAAAACCTATAATTTGCATATATCCAAGGGAGAAAAACAACTAACCTGAGCTCTTTCTAGGGGAAAGAAAAATCAGGTACCTGATTCATTCTCCAAACTAGTCAACCAAAAGATACTCAAGTATTTTAATCATTCAGGTCTTTAGGGCACTTGGTTGATATAATAATCTAAAGCCTAATTGTTCTAATGTTTGTTCAAATGATAAGAACAAAATTTAGATAACTTCAAAAGCATTTTACACTACAAAGGGCCAAGCCTCATCCTGTCACTGTACCAAAGCAGTAAGTCTCCCATTTTCCTATTCTGATCAACAAGGGCTCTAGCTCCCTTTGAGTGACTATCAAGTCTATACTGAACCTGTCCCATTACAGAAAAATCTAGACCTTGCCCATCCTTTCCCTTACATTGTCCCCACTTTGTGATTTGCCAAATGACTTAGTCCCACCTGTTTTGTTTCATTTATTGTTTTTTTCTCAGAATCCTTTATGATTTGCTTTTTCTGAGATGGACACAGGAGAATTGGGATATCTTATCCTTTGACCTTTTCCTGGACTTGCTTGTGTTAGGTTGAATTATTTCATCAGCGTTTACTGTTTAAATGATGTAACATGATGTAGTGAAATAAATAGGAACTTCAGAGTCTATAACAGATCTGAGTTCAGATCCCTGCTCCTACATTTAACTGGCTGTGAAACTGTGGGCAAGTTACTTTAAATTCTCTGAAAATGAGGGTAATATCCACTTTATAGGGTTATTTTAAGGATTAAATAAATGCAATAATACATGTCCAGTACCGAACTAATATGGTATCTAGAACTTGTTAAAGCTAGTTTTCTCTCCCCATGTTTAGACTTTTAATACAGTTTGAAGACAACATGAAAAACTTTGATTTTAGAACTGGATATGTATTTTGTCCATATGCAGGTAACACTGTGATTCACCTAGATCAGGCATTAGCAAGAATGAGAGAATACGAGCGTATGAAGACTGAAGCTGAAAACACAAATATAAGATGCACCTGCAGGATTATTGAGGATGAAGATGGTGCTGTTGCCACAACTACAATTAATAACTTAGAAGGTGTGGTTTTTGAATTGATTAAAAGTAAAAATCATAGTTCCTTAAAATTAAAAATCCCATCTGATTTACAATGTTTTTTTTCCTGCCACTTGAATTATTAGGGGTGCTAAAACTACAAGTCTTCCTTTGTTTTAGTATAAAATCATTAGAATTTTGTATAGATGCATATATGTTATTGACTTAATTTTCTAATAGATTGTTTTCTTTTACGAGTAGAAACTCCTGTTGAAAATCACAGCTCACAGCAACCTGTAAATGAAGTTTCTACTGTGCCATGTCCTAGAATTGATACTCAGCAGCTAGATCGACAAATTAAAGCAATAATGAAAGAAGTCATTCCTTTTTTGAAGGTAAGCATTGATTTTTTTTTAAATAATCTCTGTGTTTTGTTTTTCAGTGTATACAAAAGACAATCTTGTCATTAATTCAAAAAAGTCGGGTAAACAAAGAAAAAAAACTAAAAATCACCCATAATTTTGCCACTCAGAATAGCAATATGACATTTTATAAATCTGTGATACTGAAATATAGCACAGCATGCTGTTTTTAATATACTATAAACATCTTCCTAGGTCAGTGTTTTTCTATTGTATATTTTTTAATGGTTGTACCTCACTCATTGTTCATTTAAGTTATAGAATGTCTGCTTTATGCTGTTTTGTATACATAGCATTCTAGCATGAGAATACAAGTTTTCTTTAAAGTAAATATTAAATATAGAAGCAAATGGTAGGTGCCATGTAGACAATTAAAATATGTGATGGTGTCTGTTTTAGGCTAGATAGTCAGAGAAGACTTCTGAAGTGGGAACATTTTAGCAGAGATATAAAGAGCCAACTAAAACCAAGATCATTTCAAAAAATGAGAAGGCCTTAAAGTTGCCTTTAAAGGCCCAGGTGGTTGTAGAAATTTTCTGTGAGATGAAGTTGGAAAGAAAGATGGGCTATTTCTATGGACTATTAACAGGCCATGCTTAGAAATTTGGGCTTTGTTTGAATTTTAGAGGGAAACTCCTAAAGGTTTTAATTGAGAGAAACAAAGTCTAGTTTGTTTGGAGAATGGATAACGGGGGTCAGGAGTTTAATGAAATCAGGTAAGAAATGGTAGTGGCTTTGACAAGGGTGGTAGTAATAGAGATGGGGAAAGGTAGACAACCGCAATACGTCTTGGAAGTCAGCATGCTATAGATGTTATCTAAAACCACAGTACTAGTTAAGAGAGGGGCCAAGACTAGGTGATCCATCTTTAGATGTTTTGCAGAAGAGGAGCCAGAGTACTGTCATTAGGTGACTATATCAATTACTGTTGTGAGTGTTTAATATTCATAGACTAGTCTATTAATTATTACCCCAGTCCCTATTATTAAACATTGTTTATTTTGGTTTCCTTTTCGCTATTTTAAGAGTAACTGACTTAGTAAATTTGAGTTTCATATTTTTATTTCCATAGAAGTAATTCTTAGACTTCTAGCTCAAAAGGTATGAGATTTTAAGGCTTATGATATTTTAAGATTTTATATTTTAAGATATTATATTAAATTGTCACTCAAAGGATAGCAATTTATAGCCCAACAGGAATATGAGGAGAGTACAAGACTGGTAAGTGGTACTATTTTTTGTTTAATAACAATAAACATGCAGAGAAGGAAGTGTGCAAGAAGTAAAACATGAGGGCCTCCCCAGTGGCACAGCGGTTGAGCGCTGGGTTGCAAAGCTGCCCGAAGCCCCTGTGGCGCCGGTTCGATCTCCGGCTTCTCCCCAGCCGCCAGAGGAGGGTCCCACTTGGTGCGCAGACCTCTCCTGCCACCCGCTGCTCCTCTCAGCAGTGTACCTCGGTCCTTCTGCCTGCTCTGCTCCCCGCTCTGGCTCTGGTGAATTCTCTCACCCTCCCGCGCTTCTGACTGTACCCAGTGCTTGTATAAATAAATAAATCTTAAAAAAAAAAAAAAAAAAAAAAAAAAGTAAAACATGAGGCTAGAGCCTTTTCTGGGATGACAGTTTTTTTAAGATTTATTTATTGATTTATGCATACAAGAACTGGGGTAAAGTTCAAAGGTGGGGGGGGGGCAGTGAGAGGATTCACCAGAGATAGAGTGGGGAACAGAACAGGCAGACTGACTGAAATACACTGCTGAGGGGAGCAGCGGGCGAGACAGGAGAGGTCTGCTGCGCCATGTGGGTAGCTCCCTGGCTGGGGATCGAACTAATGCTGTGGCTGCTAATAGCTTCATAGACTGAATCTTAATCCCTTGCGCCACCAGGGAGGCCTGGGATGACACGCTTACATTTTAATATAAAATGGAAATTTTAAAAATTAGAAATGAGAAATTATTATTATGAAAATCCAGATTAAAAAACTACATGTTTTCATTGGGTTCATTTCTTACAACCTGCTTGTACTTTTAATTTCTCTGTTGAAGCAACTGCTTTGTTTGGAATATTTTGAGAAAAGACAGAGCTTTAAGAAGTAATTTAGAAATTTTTTTTCTTTCAAGACTGCAGGGTATCTGATTATTTCCAAAAAAAGATTCCCTTTAGCCATGACCAAATTATTCCATGCAAAAACTGAGAAACTTAGGTTTTTCCTTGGCCGCTCCAGTAACTGCTTAAATGGTCTTACTGTTTGCTTCCTCTTCTAATCTTTGAACTTCCCTGCTAGAGTTACTAGTGCTTTTAAGGCCTTGATGCTTTGCTGCTATTTCTGCCTAGAATGCTTTTCCCTCAAATATCTGCATGACTTTTACCCTTGAATCCAAGTCTCTGGTCAAATGTTACCCTTTTAGGTAAGCAGATCTCTCCCTCCTCCTTCCTTGTTATTCTTTATTTTATAGTGTTTTTCACTTTCAAATCCATTTAGTATTTGTTATTTTGTCTTTCTCCTCCTGCTTAAATGTAAACTCCGTGAAGTAAGAGATATTACTCTGTTTCGCTGTCTTAGAAGCAGTGCCAAGAATAGCACCTTCATATAGTAGACAGTGAATAAATAACTACATCGATGGATCATGCATACATCAGTGTATGCATTGCTTAAAAGTATGTTGGATGATTTTTCAATAAATTCATTTCTATAAATTTCACTCAGGTTAAGAAATCTGAAGGATAATAGAGGATATTGGGTAAAGGTGAGTATGGTTTTAGGAGTTAATGAAATTACCGGAACTGCAAATAGGAAGACATAATTATGGTCTGACTAGGTACAGGAAAGAAGTGATGAAAAGTATTGAATCAGCCAGTTTCTTTTACTGGCCATTATCTTCTATGATGGGTGAGAATTTGAAAACCCGTTAGCATGTGTAGAATGGGAATTGTCTATCCTTCGTAAAACAGATATTTCCAAACGTATATCTTAAAAGTTGAGAAGCATCTGTGCAAGAAAAATAAGATCTCATGTACATGTGGATCAATAATTTTAAACAATTGGTTAAGTTTATATACTAATGAATTAGGATTTTTCTTTTTCTCAGGAGCACATGGATGAAGTATGCTCTTCTCAACTTCTAACTTCAGTAAGACGGATGGTTTTGACCCTTACTCAACAAAATGATGAGAGCAAAGAGTTTGTAAAGTTCTTTCATAAACAACTTGGGAGTATATTACAGGTATGAGTTTGTATTGGTAGGATTTACCACTATGTGCCATCTGGTTAGGACTTCAGGACTACTGAATATCATAGTAGTTTGCTTATTTTCTAAATATATAGTCCATATTTTTAGAAAGAAGAAATCAGTTTAAAAATTAATAAAATAGGGGCCTCCCTGGTGACGCAGATGGTTGAGACCAGCGCTGTGGAGCTGTCCGCAGCCTCTGCAGTGCCAGTTTGATCCCTGCCCACCACAGAGCAGCCCATATGGCAGGGCAGACCTCTCCTGTTTTGCCCACTGCTCCCCTCAGCAGTGCCTGTTCTGTTCCCCGCTCTTTCTCTGGTGAATCCTCTCACCCTCCCATACATCTGGCCAGTACCCCAATTCTTGTATAAATAAATCTTTTTAAAAAATTAATAAAATATAGCAGACTTTTTCATTTAATGATGCTACATTTCATCTTGATTACAACTAAACTTTTAAACTGATTCTGAAGAAAAAGTTTACATTAGAATAACTTACAGGCTTATATAAAGGGGAAAACTTGAAAAGTACTCTAATGGTATCATTAGACTTTCTCTTTTTAGATGACTTTCATTTTTCACTTAATATACCCTGTAGTATTTATGTATCCCCTGCATAGTGTTGAAACTCTTTTGCAATTAGGAATCCTGTCTTAGTATGCACAACAGTTATATTAGGTAACTGAATTTATAGATAACACTATATTTTTTCTTCTCCTTTTGTGTATTTTTTAAGCATGATTAGCAAAATTCCTACTAAGTAGTATTCTTTAGTAATATTAGACTTTCTTTTGTAATATTAGCCTATCTTTTCTTAATAATCTAAGTATTATAATTTAAACATTGAAGTTTAAATTATAACAAAGTTATAATTTGTTATAACTTTGAAGTTTATTATAACAAAGTTATTTGGTTGTCTTTGAATAGGATTCACTGGGAAAATTTGCTGGTAGAAAACTGAAAGACTGTGGAGAAGATCTTCTAGTAGAGATATCTGAAGTGTTATTTAATGAACTGGCTTTCTTTAAACTCATGCAAGATTTGGATAATAATAGTATAACTGTTAAGCAAAGATGCAAAAGGAAAATAGAAGCAGCTGGAGTAATACAATCTTATGCCAAAGAGGTAAATGGCATTCATTTCAATTTTAGGAGTAGTTATAATTAACATATAAATGCAGTTCTTGATCATTATTAATAATTAACTCATACTTGACCTCAGCAAAAGTAGGTTTGGTGGGGTTTTTTTTGTTTTTGTTTTAGTAATACTGGTTAGATTATAAATCAGTGCATATGCTAACCACATACTGGATCTCAGGAATAACATACTACAGATCAAAAATGCAGACAGGAATTGATGCTAAATGTACACATCAGATATCCAGTTTATATTACAGTCACTCGGGTCTGCAGAGAAGACTGGATAGTTAGAATCTAGTCCTCAACCAACTACCTGGCATGGCTGTTGCCAATCTCGGCAGTTTCCCCAGAATATTTATCACCCCAGCTATGAGACTCTTTGAGGAAGGGAAATAGAGTTAAAGCAGCAAAACAAGTTGTTAATGAAAAGTAAGAGCATTCCAGGCAGACTGAACTATAAGGTAGGTTTGAGCAGTTTGGAAAACAAAGAGAAGCCAGGGAATGTAGCAACATTGAGTCAGTAAGAGTATAGGGGTCGTAGTTACTAAAATAAGGCCAAATTATGGGACCTTAGATACCATAAGAACCTTATATTTTATCCTATGATTGATAGAAAGCCTTGGGGAAATTTGAAGTAGAATGACATAATCTCATGTACAATTTAAAAGATTTGTATGGATACCCTATTAAAACAGGAATTGATGAAAGTAGAGATAGAAATAGTTGTAAGGTAATAGTCTAGGTAAGAAATGAGTCAGTGAGGCATTTTTATTGTAAATATGAATAATAAAAACAAGATGGCTTCTGATGTTCTGACATGCATTTGAGTAAGTGAAGGACCATTTACTAAGTTTGGGAAAACTGAAGAAGGATGGGGTTTTAGAAGGGAATAAAAATTTTTGGTTTGGAGTTAGTAAATTTGAGATGCCTCATATACCTAAGGAGTTGTCAGGTAGTGTTGCTTTTTGTTTTGTTTATTTAAAATATTGATAGTTAGGGCCTCCCCTGGTGGCGCAGCAGTTGAGCACTGGGCCTTGAAGCTGCCCGCAGCCTCTACAGCGCTGGTTCCATCCCCGGCCACCGGCGAGGGTCCCACATGGCACAACAGACCTCTCCTGTCTCGCCCGCTGCTCCCCTCAGCAGTATATTTCGTCATTCTGCCTGTTATGTTCTCCGCTCTGGTGAATTCTCTCACCCTCCTGCGCTTCTGACTGTACCCAGTGCTTGTGTAAATAAATAAATAAATCTTTAAAATAAATAAATAAAATATTGATAGTTAAATGAAAGAGTTGAATTCAGCTCTTTGAATCATGGTCAAAAAAGTGCATTTGTTAAAGTTTAATTGCCTTAGTGCTAAAAGTATACCCCTAAATTCTGCTTAATTGATTTGTTTATAGGCCAAAAGGATTCTTGAAGGAGATCATGGCCCACCTGTTGGAGAAATTGATGATGAAGACAAAGTATGTGTTAAGTAACTTTTGATTGAAATGATTTTGAAACAAATAACGTCAGTAGCTTTTACCTTAATTTTTAAGAGCAAAGTATATCATTATCAAATGTCCTTTCTTCTGACAAACCTTGACCTCTGTCAGAATGTTTCTTTGTATTTATTAGGTAGTGACTTACTAATTTTTATAATAGACTTATTGTATATCTTTTAAAATGTACATTCAGGAATTAATTTACTCAAATTTATTTGTGGCTAGGACAAGGATGAGACTGAAACAGTTAAACAGATTCAAACATCAGAGGTGTATGATGGTAATGGCGCCAAAAATGTGCCATCTGATGTTTCTGATCAAGAGGAAGATGAAGAAAGTGAAGAGTGTCCAGTGTCTATTAGTAAGTTTAAAGGCTTTGTATTAGAATTATACATTATTTCTTCACAGGTGGCATAATTGAAACAGTATGGTAGAGTGTAATGAATGTAGAATTAGGTATCAATTCTGAATTTGAATTCCAGTGTGACCCAAAATTATCCATCTTTACTGCACCAGTATTCTGGTAATTACTGTTCTGAAGATTTCAGATGTAAATGATACTATATATTTGCACATGCAGGTACATAAATAAATTGATAACTATTAAGATTATATGCTGAGGGCCTCCCCCGGTGGCACAGCGGTTGAGCGCTGGGTTGCGAAGCTGCCCACAGCCTCTGCAGCGCCAGTTCGATCCCCAGCCCGGGCGAGGATCCCACATGGTGCGCAGACCTCTCCTGCCGCCCGCTGCTCCCTTCAGCAGTATACTTCGTCAGTCTGCCTGCTCTGCTCCCCACTCTGGCTCTGGTGAATCCTCTCACCCTCCCGCACTTCTGACTGTACCCAGTGCTTGTATAAATAAATAAATAAATCCTTTTTTAAAAAAAAAAAAGATTATATGCTGAAAACTTACTAAAACTTGTGTATTAGATTTGTCCAAAGCTGAAACTCAAGCTTTGACCAATTATGGAAGTGGAGAAGATGAGAATGAAGATGAAGAAATAGAGGAATTTGAAGAGGGACCTGTTGATGTCCAGACTTCGCTTCAGGCTAACACTGAAACTACAGAAGAAAATGAACACGATGAGCAGGTATTCCTGGGTAGACAGACACATCTTCCTCCAGCCTTATTTTACTACTAAAAACAGATGGCAAAATTTACAGCTTTACAGATAGCAAAATTTACAGCTTCTCCATTCTCCTTTCATGGAAACCTCTTAAATGCTCTTATTGAAATCCGAAACACTAGTTATCTTTATATTTAGCAGTATTTACATCTAATAGGCTATTTTTAAATAACTGTGAGGTTACTTTAAAAGATCTGGGTTTTTAATTTATTTCATATTTTTCCTGATCATACATGGAAAAAGTATGTAACAACAACAAAAAAATCATTCCCTTTCTAACATCCACCACCCTGCTACAGAGGCCATTTTGAGTCCTGCTTTTTATACTCCTTCATAGGCTGAAGTCCGTGTGTGTGTGTGTGTGTGTATGTGTGTGTATTCATTTATATTACTAGATATCATCTGTTGACTTCCTATTAGAGTAGCTAAAGATTTTTAGGTGACTTAAACTTCTGTTCCCTGTATCCTGTATTCAGTTCTGACTTAATGATTAAGTTTAGATTTAATCAAGTTACATAACTATTACTGCTGAACTAAGCAAATAGTTTAGTCTTGTACATTTTTTCACTTGAATAATTAATTCTCAGTTTTTATTAACTTACATTCTATGAACAATACTGAAGTCTGCCCTCATATCAACCGCTCAGAATCTTCTACATGAACCAGTTTGTTGTTTTTGTCCGAGCACAACCCCTTCCTGCTCAATTCAAGATTTGGCTCTTTTTTAAACCTGCTGAAATGTTGGGAATCCCCTTTGTCATTCTTCTTCATTATATCTGTTTCTGGAATCCAAGCTTTGTCTTTCCTTTCTTAGAATATCAACTTACTTGAAGGAGCTTATTCTACAGTAACTAAGAAAGAATATTTAAGATATTCTAAGGCTATCTTGGTTTGTTCCTTGTTGAAAAGCATTTTCCCTCCAGTCTTTGAAGTCACTGTTTGTCTTCTGATTTCCAGTGCTGTTGTTGAGAAGTCCAATGCCTTTCATAGTTCTTACCTTTTGTGTATACATTTTTTACTTTCTAAATCTACCTTTTCTGCAAGATCCTCCACCCCCTGAAATTTTATAAGAGTACACATTGTTCTTTCATTCATTATGCTGGGTACTCAGTAAGCCTTTTTCATCTAAATTATATCCTTCAGTTTGGTAAATTCCATTTTGTTTATTCTCCATCATTTTCTCTTTTCTTTCCTACTGAAATTACTATCAGATATTATTAGCCCTCACAGACTGAACTTTTAATTTTCCCCTCTCTTCCTTTATCCTTCTGTTTTACTTTCTGGGAGATTTCCTTGATCCTAACATTCACATGAAATTTTATCTCAGATGTCATATTTTTAACTTCTAAATACTTTTTTTCCCTTGATTGTTACTTTCTTATATTACCTTTCCTTCATAGAAGCCATTTTTCTTCTCTTACCTTCTCTTGGGTTTACATTAAAGAATGATAAAACCAATGGTTGAGGTTCTTTCAGGCTTCACTCTAGGGCAGTTGAGTAGACAGCTAGCTTTTTGAAAGATACAGTCAGTGTTATTATATTTATTAGTCTTTTTTCTGCAGTGGTTTCGTTTCTCCAGTCTCCTGGCTGGGACTGTTGGTATTTTGGAACGAGATATGTGGATGTTGAGGGTCCCATCATTATATAGACTAAATCCTTCTGTTTTCATTATAACACCCTGTCCTTAGTCAGACTTTGTGCACCCTACCCCCTAGCCCTGATGGTCCCCAGATTTGAGTTTCATTAGTTTAATTTCTTCAAATTACAACCTCCCATTTTCTGTTGCAGTTGGAGGAGAGAACCTAATTGTTCCTATTGTCCTTAAACAGCTTCAGCCTGCCACCACTGCCCCTTTTCATTTCCAACTTCCTCTCTAACACTGTATTCCTTCCTTCTTAGTATCTGCTACTTCCAGCTTTGAGGTGAATCTCAACTTTCATTCTCTCCTCCTGATGAAGTTACTTAGCTTTGTTCATCTTTCTCCCCTCTTGATCAGTTCCATTTCCATTTAATTAATAGCTACATATATATATATACAGGTATCTTTTAATTTCATTGAAGTGGAGTCTGGTCTTCGGGGAAATTATTGTGGAGGCCATTGCATTCTAGCTCTGTATTATTTTGAGGCTATTTAAGAATGAAACCTTTATATTGACGATCTTGAAATTGTACCCACAGTCTCCTCCTTAAAACACTTTTAGATTGTAAAATCCCTTGATTTCATGAAAATCTCAGGTTGGACAAAAACTACACACTGCTAACTATCTCCTGTATGGCGATCCATGTATTTTCTATTATGACATGCCTTTTTCCTTCTAGGTTCTACAACATGACTTTGGAAAATCGGCAGAAAGCAAACGTGTCCCATCGGAACAAGAACCTGTTACTCGTAAAGGTAAGAGATCTAAATAGTCAATTGTAAGATACTCTAAAAGTGCCTTTCTGGGCTTAAATACTAAAATTTAAATTCTTAGCTAATATAATTTTTTTTTTAATTTTTTTTTTAGCTAATATAATTTTGAAGGTAATGTGTCTTTTTTCTACCCAAATCTTTTTAGAAAACAATGGCTTTGTTTCTCCAAATTGCTTTCAAAGATAGGCTGACGTGTATTTTAAAAACACTGAAAAATTCTGTAAAGACATTGTTAGATACAAATGTGGAGGAATTTTTAAAATACCCATTGAAGTCTACATCATTAAAAATTGAATGGATTCTAGGACTATGATTTTTAAAACATTCTCAAGATGATTAATTTGGCAGCCATTGATAAGGAAAATTTGTAGTTGCCTTTTCTTTTAGGTCTTAAGTAAATTATATTCATATACATTGTCTTATTTGGAGCAATAGAAAAATTTAACAACTGTTGTGTTACACTAATGTTAATATTTTCTTTTGATGACAGATAACCAAGATAGTGTTCCTGTAAAACCCTGTTACCTCAATATCTTGGAAAATGAGCAATCTCTAAATGGCACTGTTCAAAAGGATTTGCTTACTACCATTGAGTCACCTAAACAGCCTAACCCTTTGCCATTACCTTTAACTGAAACTGAAACCGTAGTGCCTAAAGTCAAAGAAGTTAAATCTGCTCAGGAAACTCCTGAAAGCTCTCTGGCTGGAAGTCCTGATACTGAATCTCCAGTGTTAGTGAATGACTATGTATGTATCCTTGACATTTGTCAATATTTTTGCATCTCATTTTGTGCATATGTCTTCATTTGCATGTTAACATTTTCAGCATTTAAACATTATCCATTTTGTGCTCAGGTTTAGAAATTTTCACGTTCTTATTTCTTACTCAAACTTACTTTAAACTTGAACAGAAGCGTGATAGTGAATTAAAATAATCCCCTCAAACCCTAAAAGCTTATACTTTTTGTGATTTTTGAGAACCAAAGAGAGATGAGTTTTTAGATGGCAACCTTGAATTCACTTCTGGTTCCTCTCTGATGAAAGGGTGATGATACATGAGTCAAAATTTAATCTCTTAACTCTTACCCACACATGACTTCTCAAGTACTTAAAACATTTCATAAATCTTTATTTCATAAATCTTTGGTAAATCAAAAGTTTATACTTGGGATGGGAAATAAAATATGACAGGAGTCCTTTTCTCTATATAGTGAATGACAAATATGTTAGCATGTGTGCACTTAGTATATCAGTAGATAAGTTTAGTTTTACTCTGAATCTGTTTCAATTTAACTTTATAGCAAGTAGGTTTTTTTTAATCTTTGAAGGTTGTATATGTTTTATTTACTTGTCAGCAAAAATGAAGGGCTTTATGACAATGCACTTTTAGGTCTAAGAAATATGTTCATATATTCTTTTATTTAACATCAATTTTTCCCTAATACGTATTTACAATTACAACTTTGTAATTTCTCAGAATGGGAATTTCCTTCAAAAACATAAGTAAAAAGATGGACCTCCCTTGGTGGCACAAGGGGTTCAATCTCAGCACTATGAAGCTGTTTCCAACTACTGCAGCACGAGGTCAATCCCCTGCCAGGGAGCTACCTACATGGTGCAGCAGACCTCTCCTGTCTTGCCCGCTGCACCCCTTAGCAGTGGATTTCAGTAGATCTGCCTGTTCTGCTCCCCACTTTGTCTCTGGTGAATTCTCTCACCTCCTGCACCTGTGGCCTGCACCTCAGCTCTTGTATGCATAAATAAGTCTTTTAAAAAAAAAAAGTAAAAAGAATATCTCATTTAACTGTTTTATTTGTTTGCTTCACTACCAGTGAGACTATACATCTAAAATTAAAAGTTACCTGTTAGATTTATTCTTATTATCATCTGATGAGTGGTAGAGTTCCTATAGGAACGCATTCAATTGAAATGAGGTCAAAGTTAGATTAGAAAGATCTAGAATTTGAATCTTAGGTTTTAATACAAGGAAATAAGATGGTCAAAGTCACGGGATGTAAAGATGAATCTGATTATATTGATACATTGTCAGGGAAATCATGTTAGGCTCCATTATCATAAATACAAAATAGGATCTGAGTGAGAGAGAAATGGGTGAGAGATGTTGCAAGAAAAAGAAAAACTACTAGGTTTCCACCTGGGTAACTGGTAGAATGATGATACTTTGAAAACCAAGAAGGAGAACTAAAAGGATAATTAAAAATTCAGGTTTCAGAAAAATGAGGTGATCAGAAAGAATTACTAAATTCATACCTCTTCTTTATTTCAGCCTTCACAGTATTTGATAATTAAATGTCTGTAAATGTTTCCTTATATTCTGCTAGTACAGCTCTGATGCATTCTGCAAACAAGTGAATTGTTCTTGTAAAGTATTTAAGCCTTCAGTATTAACTACTTACTTTTCAATATTTCCTTCAGTATTAACTACTTCCTTCCAACTAACCTTTTGATTTTTTAAATGGGCACAGGAAAAAACAACCATATGCTCACAGCTGCAAGTGTGTAGCTCTGTCTTGAACTCTAGATTTCTGTTTTATTCATAGAGCTGAAGGAAACCAAATATAGTTACTGATAGATACTTAGTAAAGAATCCCTTTCTTGGCATGGATAACTGGTTTAGATCCAGAGATAGAGCAGATAGCTTTCATTAAATACGTATATATAATTTATCTTCCAGGAAGCTGAGTCTGGTAATATAAGTCAAAAATCTGATGAAGAAGACTTTGTAAAAGTTGAAGATTTACCACTTAAACTGACAATATATTCAGAGGTATTTGATTCTCTTTAATTAAACTTGTCTTTATATAACAGTTATTGTTGGGCCTTCTGGGTGACACAGGGGTTAAAGACTCAGCACTATCAAGCTGTCACCAGCCACTGCAGCCTGAGTTCGATCCCCAGCCAGGGAGCTGACCCACATGAAGCAGCAGACCTCTCCTGTCTTGCCCTCTGCTCCCCTCAGCAGTGTATTTCAGTCCATCTGCCTGTTCTGTTCCCCACTTTGTCTGGTGAATCCTCTTACCTACCCCCCACCACCTCTGGCTACACACAGTTCTTGTATGCAAAAATAAGTTAAGTTTTTTTTAAAAAGACAAACAAATATTGTTAAGATGAAACATGATTGTGAATTTTTCTTCATACCAAAGGCAGATTTAAGGAAGAAAATGGTAGAAGAGGAACAGAAAAACCATTTATCTGGTGAAATATGTGAAATGCAGACTGAAGAACTAGCTGGGAATTCTCAGACACTAAAAGAACCTGGTAAGAGTTATCAGTGTTAGCCATATTATACTGGAAGTTTACTGAATCTTGATACCATCATTTTATTTACTTTTTTAAATGTGCTGTTTGTATCAGGGAGGTTTGAGCCCAAACATTAGAAAGGAAGATTATTGAGAACTTTTAGTTCAGCTGCCTAATGTAAAATTATATTAGATTTTTAAATCTTCCATTTTAGCAAAATAATATACCTGCATTGTTTAAGAAAAAGATACAAAAGAGTTAATGATAATTACCAAGGGCCTATTACTTTTAATTACTATTTTTTAGTGCTGTAAGGGAGACCTTCTGTATCTGTAAATATTTTTATAATTTTTCTTAATGAAAAAAATTGGGGAGCCTGCCTGGTGGTGCCGTGGTTGAGCGCTGGGTTGCGAAGCTGCCAGCAGCTTCTGCAGTGCCGGGTTCGATCCCCGGCTGCTCCCTGGCCACCGGAGGAGGGTCCCACATGGCGCGCAGACCTCTCCTGCCGCCCGCTGCTCCCCTCAGCAGTGTACTTCGGTCCTTCTGCCTGCTCTGCTCCCCACTGTGGCTCTGGTGAATTCTCTCACCCTCCCACGCTTCTGACTGTACCCAGTGCTTGTATAAATAAATAAACTTAAAAAAAAAATTGGGGTATCTTGTCTCCCTTCTGAAAAGTGACTTAAATATAGACCTACCTCTCCCTCTTACAGGGCTCATATATTTTGCTCCCTTTGTTATTTTAAGTAGAACATTTCCTAGTTCTGTCTGTCACCTTTGGTCATTATCCAACTATTCCTTCTGCTTCCTTCCACCTTTCTCTGTTCTGTTTTACTCATATTCTTACATTAAGGTTATTAAAGTGAACAAAATTATTTTTTGTTTTGTAACTGTGATAATTAAATCTTCCATAATCTTTTGAGGATGAGTCTACATAAATATTCATTGCAGAGCCAAGCGATCTCCACAGATTTCCTTTATGGATCTGCGAGCACAACCATTGGCCAACTCAAAGGAGAATAATTCTTGCATCATACTCAAGGGATTTTTTCTGTTATTCTCTATCAATTTATCCATTAGTTAAAATCATATATAATACCATGTTTATTTTTGTTTGTCCTAGAAATGGGGAGAAGAGAAGGGCAGATCATTCAGGTATCAAACATTTCATTTCCCAGTCTTCGGCCGGTTTTGTCTACATCTCAACTGCTCCATTCGCAGTGTCTGGGCTGCAGTGTCCGGGCTGCAGTGTCCTCCACTCTCTCTGCTCCCACCTGTTTTGAAGAGCCTGAAATTTGTTGATAACTCATGTTGTTCTCTGACAGCCACTCTTTATTGATCTGCATTTATTCATTTTTATAATTTTTTCCCTTTTTTTCTACTGGGTTTCTTGAGAGACAAATAGTATATTTTCAGCCTGCCATTTTAAAACAGAAGTTCTCTCCTACCCTTTAACTCGTAAATTACTGTTTCCTTTGTAATTAAAAATGAAAGTTCTTAATGGAAGATAACATTAAATTCTGATGTAATGCCTCAATTTAGTGAATGATTTATAAGACTGGTTTTCTGTTTTTTTTTTTTTTTTTTTTTTTTTTTCAGAAACTGTTGGAGCCCAAAGTATATGAGATGTCTTCAGAGACTCATCTAACTCTCTACAAAAGTCGATACATACATGAAAATGGCACTAAATAAACATGTTTTGATCTGTGTAAAAATGTAAATTAGTTTGACACTGCATTTTTGATAGGTGTGCTAATTTCTGCCCATGGCAGTTTAAAACATCAGATACTGAGTTTTCAACAGATTCAAGCCTTGATACACTGTGGGGTTTCTTTTTTTTTTTTTTTTTTTTTTTTTCAGTCTTGATTTTTATTTCCCATTGTGATGTTTAGTAATGTTAAATTTAAAAAGTAGTTTTAAATAAAGGTTGAACTTATCTGTAAAGTATCATTTTTGGAAATTATGTTGAATCCTATACAGCAAGTTACTGCTCTGTGTAAGTAGGCTATTTAGAAGAGAGCAATGGTTGGATTAGAGAAATGTACTATTTATTATATAGCCTAGCCATTAGGCCAGGCTTCCAAATAATGCCAGTGTTGCTGCTATTGGGTCTAATGTTCTTTTAGATACCTGCATGTCTTATTCCTGTGTAAGAATAGGGCAGGTTATCTGTGAAGTTATTGTAGAATATATATTAATATTCTATTCAAATTGGATAATACCTTAACTTTAGAACACATATCCTTAGTACCTACAACTTAATTATCTATTAGACAAATTCTTGGAGAATTTCAACTCCTATCTGTTACCACAGTCTTAAAAAGAAAGTTTTATATAATTAGGGAGTATTTCTGCACTGAAAAGTAACATTATGATTAATTTTAAATGAAACCAAACTCTTACAAGAAGGGATTAATAAAACTAAATTTATGTACCAGTGCATTATAGTTCTGTATGCTTTCAACAAATTTTCCTTTGGGATGATAGTTCAAGACTACAGAATAGCAATTGCTTCTGTGTGTAGTGAGAGAGAAGCAGGTTCACAAAGGAAGTATTGAGTATTGAAAATCTGTATGACTTCATCATTAAGTAAATCAGCTTTCAAAAGGTAGTTTACTTTTAGATCCCAAACTTTCCTTATACCAGTGAGGCTTCACAGAGCCAGTTAACAATTAGGTCAACTTTACAGATTCTTCCTTGAATAATATAGGAAGAATTAGTTCCAAGTGGTCTTCTAAATTTGCTAACAAATGATTGAAATACCCCATTAGAATTTGGTTTGGTATTCCTTTAAAATTTCTGACTTCCCTGATACCTGTGTAGATTGACAATGTCCAGTCAGGGAGTATTAAGTGAGGATTTCCCTGTGAGAATATTTTCTGTGTTGCTATTTAAATTATGTAAGCTATATCTCCGGCTTTTAACGTCAGTAAAACCTATTCCAGATAACTGTCATTCCAGAATCAGGAATTCATATGCAGTTTGCCTGCCTTCAGGAAAATTGAAAAATAAGATATATGTATACTCAAATTTGTTTCCTAGACTCTAAGCAGGAAGAGAGGAAAACTTCCTTTTGGCACTCAAGCCAAGCCTTACATATTACAGCTGTGTCTCTCTCTCTCTGCATGCATATTAAAGATTGATAGAGTGAAAGAATTGTACTTACATCTTAGTTATTACTGAAGTACCTATGAACCTTATCAATTTTGTTTATTTGACTTGTGTTATAGCTGCTATAATCTAGTCTGTTTTCTGTTTTAGTAGATAATTTTAAAATACGGCTTATGAGCAGGTAACTTGTTCAATGTTTTCTCTGGTAACTACTATTAGAGTTACCCATTAAATATTCCAGTTTAATTTTAAGTTTAAAAATTTGGATAGATATAAAAGAGAGAAATGGTTAAAACAAGTAAGAGAGAACCTTATGTAGGTTAAGATAATACCTAAAATAGTGAGATAGCCAGACTTTGTATTTTGTAACATTCACTTTGGGTAAATGCTTTTTCACTGTTAATAAATGTATATCCTACATATAATTCTGAATCGCTTTTTTATTTAAATTGACACCATGACTTGGAACTAATTCCATAATTATTACATATTTGATGATCTTTAGTAAAATCAAGGTCTGGAAAATTATGACATTGACTAGTCAGAGAAAAGATTAAACTTGAGATCATTTTTCTGGCAGTGTAGCTATGCTCTACTTCTATTGTACATGTTGTGTAGACAACATTCTCATATTTACTCAAAGAGGCTGCCATTTTTCTTGCCAAAGAAATAGTTATTGGGTTTCACTGTAAAAATCTCAGTCCCCTGAGCTTGCCTGGAAGAGCCAGCATATCCTGCACAACTCCTTATACTTTGCTGTCTTGCATCTCGTTTCTGCCTCAGATTCACTGATGTCCCTGACTCATTTTCCATTAAGGAACAGAGTCCTTTGCCTACAGATGACTTTGGTTCATATATAAAATGTTTTAATTATCTCATCAGTTCTTTACATCTGCTCAGACTCAGAAATGTATCCACTACAGAAGGACTGGCTGATTTATTTTAAAAACTATTCACAGCATAGTTTGAGTACAATACTTCTCAAATGCTCTTTCCTGCCTTCAGACATTTCCTGACTATACTTGTTATTTCCAATATGTAGGACTAGCAAATTACATATGATTAATTTAAATAATGTAGTTGTAAAAACTAAGTTATTTTTGCTAGAAATCTTCCCCTTTAATGACTTGTAGAATGCAGCTGCCTGCTTGAGGTCATTCTGTTGATGAAATGACATGAAAGGGCTTTGAAAAACACAAAGTGCTATACCAATTCACTGTAGTAGTCAACATTTGTGCTAAATCACTTTTATTGGGCCCGTGGACACTTGATTTAGGGCTACCCCATCTGTCACCCCTTCACCTGTTACCTCACTATAATTAGTCTTCCTAGAAGTAGAATAAGCACTTCATTCTATCAGTGAAGTAGTGCTCATGGACATGCTTTGATGACAAGTGCTGTTCAAATGTAAGATGTCTGTCTACATTGGAGAAAGGCACAGGGAAAAAAGGAGGTAAGATAGTCCTCAAACTGCAACTCAGTGGTGAGGTTTTTGCTTAGTATTTATCAAATGTAATTATTTACATCTTTCAAAAGAATTAAAATTGGAAATTAAAAAACATGGATAGTTTATTAAAATGATAGTGAACAGATTGTTGAGAAACTTCTTTCTCAACAAAATTGTGATTTTAAAAATTGGGATTAAAGCTCCATGTGACCTCAACTTTTGTCAATCATTTCATGATTTAGGGAGCCACTGGCAAAGTGGAAAAGATGCATCTACCCCTCTCTAGTCTACCTTCTTCCAAGTTTGCTGGCACCCTGAGCTTCCCAAAGCCTGAAGCTAAGTGTCAACTCTAAGGTGTTTTGGGGCTAGCTGCTTACTATTGAAATTGGATCCTAGGTTTCTCCTTTGGGCAGAGAATGAGGGGTAGCCCAGGAACCCCCACCTACTCTCAATAGTTTCTGCCATCCACTGCATCAAGACAAAACAGACTAGTGCATTAGACCTTCAATAGAAAGGAACTTTAATGTAATTAGTGTGCAATAGAAGGAAAGAACAGATAAAATAGTTTCCACATGAAACACAAAGTTGACCATCCCCTCACGGGTAAATGCACAGCCAAACAGGGTTGGCCCAAAGCAGGGCCACTGAGGCCTGAAAGTTTGCCACAAGTCTAAGGAACTTTCTGGTGGGAACCATAGGAAAGGGGCAGAAGGAGCCAGTCAAGTCTGAGAGGAAAAGAACCAAATCCAAATCAAAATAAAGGTTGCCATTGTCCGCCTCCCCACAGGTCTCACCCATGTCTCTTTCAAGTGTTTCCTTTCATGTCCCCCAAGTCCCTGGTACAAGTCCAAGGCCAAGAAGCAAGCACAGCTTCTTCACATGTCTCTCTGCTTCCGGTGTCTCTCCCAGGTCCCCTTCTTGATCTCCTTCCTATTCCCAGTTCTCTCTTCCCTGCCCAGCTTCACCCTTCCTTGGGGTGGCACAGGGAACCTGGAGCCTCCCCTTTCCCTGGGGATTGCCCTGTTACACTCTCTTAAATCCAAATCTGTAAGTTTTTCCTAAAAAACACCAACTCTATCTGGGGCAAAGATCTGGATGACAAAGCTTTTAATACCTTAAAGGAGAGCCCAATGAATCGCCTGCCCTTGGAATTCCCAATTATCAGCTTCCCTTTTCTTATTGCATATGGAAAGGAACCGAATGCCTTTGGGTTACTCACCACAAAACCACGGTATGCTAGCCAGCTGCCGGACCCTGCAGCCCAGGGACATCCCCCTGGCCTTTGAGCCATCCCTCCTTCACCTTTTGAATAAGGTCACTGAGGAAACAGTTGTAGGATGATCTTAATCCATTTTTGGATGTGAAGCCCTTCTTTATTCTAACCACGCCCAACCCTTTCAACTTGCCATTCTTCAAAGTCTTAAATTTGCTTCTTTTCCTTCATTACCAACAAAATCCCTCAACACTATTGAACACGAAGAGGTCACTTCCTAACCCTTCTGATGGTTTACAGGAACATCTGACTAATGCTGACTTTCTCAGAATAGACTGATGGTTCATTTAGAAGGTGTTGACAAATATTGTGTTGGATATGCAACCTCAACACCTGTGATGTAACTGAGGCAGAACCCTCGCCTTTGGCTACTACAAACTTAATTACATACATTTCCTCAGGCCTGACCCTGCCAAGGGCAACATAGTCAACATTTATGCTGACTAGACAGGCCTTGGGAACAGCTCATGATTTTGGAGTGGGAAGCAACATGGTTTTCTTATTTCCAGCAGAGAAGAAAATAAACTACCCTAACGTTCAGGAATTATTAGATGCCATTCTTTTACCCGCTCCTTTAGCTATTACTAAGCTCCTGGAGCATTCTAGACTTTACTCTCTAGAAGCTAAGAGCAGTTCCCTTACTGACCTTTCTGCAAGGAAGCTGCACTTAGAGGGACCAAGAGCAGTCCAATCTGCCATGGTCCAAATGAGGTAGAACAGGAACTTAGCATAAAGGCTGCAACCTGCTTTCACTGCCCTTATCTAGCATTTCTGAAAAGCAGCTACACACACTCCAGAACCAAGCCAACCCAAATACTCGTGTCCTTTTAGTTATCTTATACCTGGTGCCACTAGTTGTAAAAACTTCTATCTTATCTAATGAACAGGAAGGGTCTGTGGTTCTTGTTAAACCAACTGGTCAACTCTTATTACCCTTAGCTGTAAATTCCTGCTTCTTTTGTTAAAGGAAACTGGCCAAATCCCATTATTCCATCTATAAGTCCCCTGCCCCCTCAAAAAAGCATATATCAACATCCTCAAGACTCAGGAGCAGGGCCTCCCTGGTGGCCAAGGGGTTAAGATGCAACCTATGCAGCTTAAGTTCGATACCCCAGCCAGGGAGCTACACACATGGCACAGCAGACCTCTCCTGTCTCGCCTGCTGCTCCCCTCAGCAACGTATTTCAGTCTGCCTGTTGTTCATCAGTCTGGTGAATCCTCTCACCCCCCACACCTCTGGCCTGTACCACAGCTCTTGTATGCATAAATAAATAAATCTTTAAAAACAAACTCAAGGAGCAAATTTCTCCCTTGAAGTTCACCTGCACTGTCTTTCTTAAGTGTCTATTCTCACCTACAATAAAGCATTATTTTTAACTCACCTACACTGACTCCCACACAAATTCTTACCTGCTCATAAGTCAAGAATCTTGGGGTCCCCCAACCCCTGGCCCTCATCACAAATAGATGCGTCTCCAAATGATAGCATAGAAAGCTGGCTAGAGAAGCCAAACATAGTCCTCTAAAAAAGGAAAAACAAGATGGAAATTGCCGGGGACCAGCCTCCAGCAAAATGTCGTGTCAGGGGTTCCTGAAAGGATGAGACGGCCTCGGCGACCTGTAAGGGGCTGAAACTTAAGGGCTGAGGGGAAGGGGATGAGATAGTGAGGAGACACTAACACTTGGATGAGGTGCAAGTATCTTCTGCCGAGAGACTCAGCAGGTCTTTATTTATTCCTTTTTAGTAAGCAGAAAAAAAATACATTGTCATGTGTAAAGCAGAAACAATTAGTGTATTTTATTTCCATAGACTACTGGCTCCTACGGGTCCCAGCTAGACGGTAGCCTTTAAGGTTAATAGATAACACTAAAACTTATTTTTCCAGCTAGACAATTATCTAAGACAGTGGATAGCCGCCAGTGCATCCCTATCAGCTAAAGCCTAAGCATCTAAAGACTATTTTATTCACATGGCCTTCAGTCAGAGACCAGCTGCTACTCAGCTATCAGAACTTTTTCTACCTACAAACTTCTTAACACAGTTAACTTCATATAAAAACTTTCCTAAGAAACTTCTAAATAAAAAGGAAACTTCTAAAAAAACAAAAGAAGGATTTACTATAATTGTTATGCTGGATTGCTTGTCAAATATATACAATAAATTGTCTCCCATTGTTAATTGGGCCGAATTGTGTAGTAACTAATTTCTAAACAAGGTAATTTTTCATGCCAATTGCTTGCAGTCTGTTGATACATATAATTTATAGCCTAATGTACTTTTTGGGAAATTTTGTCTCTCTTTATGACCAAGAACAAAAAATGAAGGAATGTTAGATCTTCAGCCCCACGGTGTGAGGCACAAGGAATCTTCAGCCCCACGGTGTGAGGCTCTTTACCTTTGCTGCTTGCCAGTGTCTTATCTGGCTGGGGCATCAAGGCCTCCTGCAGCAGGAGATCCAACGACGATGGATTTGACAAAAGAGAAAACTCCAGTTTTGGTCAAATAATAACTCGGTCCTGCCAGAAGACTCTGAAGTTCCACTGGTGACTAAAGTCCAGGCATTGCACATTGGTCAACCAATAGAATGGTAAGCTGTATGCACCAGCTCTGGAGGGGAAATGATGTCTCAAAATGTGCCCAGTTTTCTTGTCCACTTGCCCAAAATACAATTCAGGAAAAGCTTGTCCACACTGCCCCCAGACACTTAA